GCTCTGCCCCGGTATAAACAGTTTGCTTGCTTAACACAATTGCTATTGCGCCATCCAGTGGACTCAATTGGAACAGCAGTTTATTTTATTGAAAAATTGCAGCGCATTTTTATACTTTAATAAAAAATAAAAACTTTTTTTTTGTTTTTGTTTTTTGTATTCAAAATCCGGCCCGCGGGCCGTATGTTTGACACCCCTGACATAGAGCCATGACTACATGGAACTCTTTCCACATCAGGTAACTGATGCAAGCATTAGAATCAGGTTTTAAAAAACAGATACAAATACAATTTATGGAACAGCAGGGACTATGAAGAGACACACACACACACATGATAAGACACGCACTCTACACACACGTACACATGGATGTTGTATTGTAAATATGTGATAGTGGGAGTAGTGGCCTGAAGGAACACACTAAATGTATTGGGTAAAGTGTTATGAAATGAAATGTCATGTCATGTAATATTTTAAATTGTATATAACTGCCTTAATGTTGCTGGACCCCAGGAAGAGTAGCTTCTGCCTTGGCAGCAGGTAATGAGGATCCTTAATAAATACAAATACAAAATCACTGGGGCCAAACTCCCTGCCATTCAGAACCTCTATAGCAGGTGGTGAAAGAGGGAGGCCCGAAAAATTGTCAAAGACTCCAGCCGATGCACCAAGTCTGTGACCAAAAGGCACCTGAACAGCTTCTACCCCCAAGCCATAAGACTGCTAAACAGTTGATCAAATGGCTACCCGGACAATTTACATTGACCCCTTTTATTATATATCTTAATTGTTTTGCACTGACTCCCTTGTACTGGCTCTATGCACACTCACTAGACTCACACTCCAACACACACACACACACATACATACATAGACACACTTTACATACGCTGCTGCTACTCTGTTTAATATATATCCTGTTTGCCCTTGTCACTTCTACTCCTACTTACATGTACATACTGTATTACCTCAATTACCTCAACTACCTCCTACCCCTGCACATTGACTCAGTACTGGTACTCCTTGTGTATAGCCTCATTATTGTTTGTTTTGTGTTACTATTTCCTTGTTTTTGGGGGGGAAATATTTGTCTTACTTTTTATCTCTGCACTGTTTGGGAATGGGCTCGTAAGTAAGCATTTCACTGTAAAGTCTACACATGTTATATTCGGCGCATGTGACCAATAAGATTTGATTTGACGTATGTAAGAACTAACTGTAATGTAAACGGTCCCTGTAATGTAAACTGACAGCACAAACATATCCATGGACATTTTATTTATCAGTGTTCCCAGACAATATAAAAAGTTGATACTGTGAATAAAATCCATTTAGAATTTAGAACACAAAAATAGGGCGACAATACAGGAACACTCTCTGATGATAAATCAATTTACACAATACACTGTACATACAACATCAGCAAAAATAAATAGCACCAAGCTGCTCAGGTCCTAGATAGAAGCTGGTGTCATTCTTTGCTGACACGAAATTCCCGGTGGCTTATAGTGTGTTTGGCAATCCGGGAAAAAACGTGTCATTGAAGAACATCACCTGTTAGTTCTTAAAGTGTCAACTTAAACCACACCACACGGAAAGACACTCACTGAATCAAGTACACCAGGAAGTATTGTTCTCCCTCTGACAGCACTAGAAACAGTCAGACTGTTGGATATTGCAAAATGGGATGGAGACGGAGCCCACATCCAGGTGTTGTTCATAGACACAGCTGCATTATGGGTTCCGTTACCACCCTACCCGCCAACATCACTATTGAGGATCCCATTTCCATTTCACAATTTCTTGGGGTGGAGAAAATACATTGGTCTATCCTGTTCCATTCATATCTTGAAGTCTTGAAAAAACAGTTATATCTGGAGAGAAAGAGAGATAGATAGAGGAAGAGAGAGTGATATATATATATATATATATATAGAGAGAGAGAGAGAGAGAGAGAGAGAGAGAGAGAGAGAGAGAGAGAGAGGACAGAAAGCCTATTAATGAATCCTCAGAGGCACACAAACACACTTTCACTCATTAATTGAAGTCACCTACTCATCAGGTTTGACGGGAAAGCTAGAGTCTATCTGATCATTAGAAGAAGAGAACGCAAACAGAAAGGAACAGAAAAAGGATCAATCAAAACAAAAGAACCCGAGAGGGGTATTTTGAAAGTAAGCTACATAAATAGTGAGAAAGGGTTGAATGAGGACAAAAACAGGCGATTCAAAGAATGGAAACAAAGTCCCATTTCTGAAAAGAAAGTTACCGTATATGCTCAGCTCAGATCACCATCAGCTTGCTCCCACTCTGCTGTCACCCTCCTGTCTGCACTACTCTATTTATGAGTCTTCACTTCCTCCTAAATACACAACAAATCTATTTCACTTTCACTTCTGCAGAACAACTGACCATAACTCCTCCTTCGCGCCGTCCCTCCCCCTTTCATTGTCACAACAACACTTACAATCTCTGATTGCTTTAGTACTGTACCACTACCTCCTGCCACTTTCAATAGATTTCTACAGTTGACATAAACTATATTACTTTTTCAACAGATACAATACAAATAGCTCTGTTGCAGTAGTCAAGGTTAAAGTAAGTTGGATGAATCCTTCTTCAGCCTTATGGAGTTGCTAATTGAAGACACCAGTCTGTCTGATCAGGTGGGACAGGTGTGCATGTGTGGGACAGGTGTGAGTCCACTGGTGCGTGGCCTGGAAAGTCCGGTGGATTTGGAGGTGTACCTGATCCCCCCCAGAGACCTCATTGTCCTCTCCAAAAAAGGATCATGGTTCTGTGTGTCTATCAGACAGGTAGGTTATAAACCCTAAATCACAGAATGGAATAACACTATTTACACTACATATTAGATTGTATCTGTATGCCTTTAAAATGGTCTCAAGGTAATATTTCTTTCATTCAATTAAGAGGTTTTCCATCCCCAACTCTCACCTTAACACTCCATGGCGGCAGGTAGCTTAGTTAGTTAAGAGTGTAGTGCTAGTAACCGAAAGGTTGCTGGTTCTAATCCCCAAGCCGACTAGGTGAAAAATCTGTCGATGTGCCCTTGAGCAAGGCACTTAACCGTGATTGCTCCTGTAAGTTGCTCTGGATAAGAGTGTCTGCTAAATGACAAAAAAAACATGAAATACAACATAGATGGCATTTCCCATCAAACCCGGGTTCAAATACTATTTAGGGTATTTCAATTACTTTCTAAGACATTTCAAAGTAATTATTTGGATACGTTTTTCTTTGAAAATACATGTAATTGATATTGGAATGTTTAAATACACTTGGAAGGTATTGGCATGTATTTGAAAATACTCAAATACACAGAAGTGCATTTTTAAATACAAATATTGAAATACTTCATGCATTTGAACCCAGGTCTGTTCGGTCCTAGGAGTATTTAAAATAATGTATTTGGAAAATAGTTTCAAATAGTAGGCTATTTATAGAACATTATCAAAATGTAAGTATTTCATTTCGGCCACATTATTTGAAAATACTAAAATACACAGAAAAAATATGTTAAATTACAAATACGCATCCACTACCAGTCAAAAGTTTGGATACACCTACTCATTTATTTGTACTATTTTTTTTACATTTTGTGTCAATCAGTTGTGTTGTGACAAGGTGGGGGGTGGGGTATACAGAAGATAGCCCTATTTAGTAAAAGACCAAGTCCATATTATGGCAAGAACAGCTCAAATAAGCAAAGAGAAACAACAGTCCATCATTACTTTAAGACATGAAGGTCAGTCAATCCAGAAAATGTGAAAGGTTCCTCAAGTACAGTCGCAAAAACCATCAAGCGCTATGATGAAACTGGCTCTCATGAGGACCGCCACAGGAATGGAGACCCAAAGTTACCTCTGCTGCAGAGGAGTAGTTAATTACAGTTACCAGCCTCAGAAATTGCAGCCCCAAAAAAATGCTTCACAGAGTTCAAGTCACAGACACATCTCAACATCAACTGTTCAGAGGGGACTGTGTGAATCAGGCCTTCATGGTCAAATTGTTGCAAAGAAACCACTACTGAAGGACACCAATAAGAAGAGACCTGCTTGGGCCAAGAAACACAAGCAATGGACATTAGACCAGTGGAAATGTGTCCTTTGGTCTAGAGTCCAAATTGGAGATTTTTGGTTCCAACCGCTGTCTCTTTGTGAGACGCGGTGTGGGTGAACGGATGATCTCTGCATGTGTAGTTCCCACCGTAAAGCATGGAGGTGTTATGGTGTGGGGGTGCTTTGCTGGTGACACTGATTTATTTAAAATTCAAGGCACACTTAACCAGCATGGCTACGACAGCATTCTGCAGCGATACGCCATCCCATCTGGTTTGGGCTTAGTGGGACAATCATTTGTTTTCAACAGGACAATGACCAACACACCTCCACGCTGTGTAAGGGCTATTTTACCAAGAAGGAGAGTGATGGAGTGCTGCATCAGATGACCTGGCCTCCCCAATCCCCCGACCTCATCCCAATTGAGATGGTTTGGGATGAGTCGGACGGCAGAGTGAAGGAAAAGCAGCCAACAAGTGGTCAGCATAAGTGGGAACTCCTTCAAGACTGTTGGAAAAGCATTGCAGGTGAAGCTGGTTGAGAGAATGCCAAGAGTGTGCAAAGCTGTCATAAAGGCAAAGGGTGGCTATTTGAAGAATCTCAAATATAAAAAATAAATTAAAACCCTTGAATGAGTAGGTGTGTCCAAACTTTTGACTGGTAGTGTATATATCAACCCAGGTCTGTATCTCTACACATAATAAATGACCATTCCAATGACAACAATAACAAAATTAAGTGGGAAAAAATGTTTTAATTGACTTATTCTCCTTTATTCATGTCAGTAGGACATGGAAGGCATCTGATAACACCAAAACAATCCATCACAATACTGATGGATAGACAGACATGCTCTGCTCTCCCTCAGCATAGATAGGGAACAACAGACAGGGAAGACTGATTGTTTAGACATAATTGACATTTGTGTGTGTGTGTGAGGGGGGTTGTCAAGTAGTTGTGTGTGCTTGCATGTGCGTATGCTTGAGGAACACTCAAGTCTGCAGCCCACTACTGTTGTTCTCTTCCTTAGAACAGGCGCTTCTCATAACTGCAAGAGAAGAAAGAAAAAGAAAAAAAAAGAACAGGTTTAACAAATGAATGATCTGGTAACGAATTACCAACATGTTGCATCATACTGAGATCAGACAGACCTATAAACATGTTGAAGTGAGATTCGTTTGGAAAGGGGAACCATTTTAAAATCTAGGAGCTTGCATGTGGTATGTGAAACTGAGATGTTAAGAAAATCCCCTCACCAAGCAAAGAATATATTGTAATGTTAGCTTCTGTGACAGCACTGTGGGCTAGTCAACACAGCCTAGCTAGATCACATCAATAAGTACCTGTGCAGGCTGTGGACTCCTCCCTCCATCTGGGCCGATGTCGTCCTCTTCTCAAACTTCAGATCCCCAGAATACATCATGGCTCTGCACGGGGAAGACAGTGTTACACGGAGCCCCGATGCTCACACACGCGGCGGCATCAAAGTAGGCGTACTTTGACAAACATTCAGATGTATGTGTGCGCGTGCGTGTACCTGAGCTGGGTGAGGCTCTTGGATCCGATGTCTTGACAGGAGTGCTGGATCCCAGCCAGCAGGTAGGGAATAAACTTATGGATAGAGCCCTTGTCCTGGACCGCCCCCGACACACCCTGAGCCACCTTGATCTTGTCACACTCACTGCAGAAAGAGGGAGGAAAGGGGTAAAGAGAGGATGGGTCAGCTATATGTTTTTTGTCTTTTGGTTGACTGCCTGCTGCAAAGCTAGTTGCCCCTGGGTCGTGTTAATTATAATAATAATAATATAATATGCCATTTAGCAGACGCTTTTATCCAAAGCGACTTACAGTCATGCGTGCATACATTTTTTTTGTGTATGGGTGGTCCCGGGGATCGAACCCACTACCTTGGCGTTACAAGCGCCGTGCTCTACCAGCTGAGCTACAGAGGACCAATTGATTAGTGCACACATTTTTACATTTACATTTTAGTCATTTAGCAGACGCTCTTATCCAGAGCGACTTACAGTTAGTGAATACATATGTTTTTTTATACTGGCCCCCCGTGGGAATCGAACCCACAACCCTGGCGTTGCAAACGCCATGCTCTACCAACTGAGCTACATCCCTGCCGGCCATTCCCTCCCCTACCCTGGACGACGCTGGGCCAATTGTGCGCCGCCCCATGGGTCTCCTGGATTCGAACCAGGATCTCTAGTGGCACAGCTAGCACTGTGATGCAGTGCCTTAGACCACTGCGCCACTCGGGAGACTGTAGCAAAACGTTTTGCAAAGGGAAACAACAAGCGCTTCTTATTGGACAAGTTCAGGTAGTACCTCAGTTTGTCGGTTTTATATCATTTGGTGCCTAATGAATACAATCCTGGGGATAATACATATTTGTTTTACTGTATTACTAGTGTATTAGTATAACTATGACTCAGTACCTGAAGTATCTGGTCTGGGAGCCCAGGTTCTTGTCCATGGCATCCAGTGAGCCCATGCCTCGGTATTTCTTCAGCCTAATGCCGTCAGAGAAGAAGTATTCACCTGGAGCCTCGCTTGTGGCAGCCAGGAGAGAGCCCATCATCACTGGAGAGACAGCGGGGAGGAGAGATCAGAGAATGTACCTTTCATGCTTTGAGAGGGATGTGTGTGTGTTAGTACATTACTATATCAGTGTCTAAATGTGATCCTGTAAGTGCTACGTGTAATGGCTAATGCTACGCGTAATGGCTAATGCTACGCGTAATGGCTAATGCTACGCGTAATGGCTAATGCTACGCGTAATGGCTAATGCTACGTGTTTCTCTCCTTTCTATATACTATTGACTAATGAGAGTTGGTGTGTGTATGGGTATTTGACTTGAGCCTGAGACACCTGTAGATGCCCCAAGTGCCAGGGCTTTGGCGATGTGCCCCACGGTTTGGATGCCCCCGTCGGCGATGACTGGCACTCCAAATCGACGGGCGTACTCCGACACCTTGTACACGGCGGTGGCCTGGGGACGCCCGCATGCCAACACTGAGACAACAGGGGAAGGAGGACAGGCGTGAACAAAGAACACACAAAAGTTGTAAAAATAAATAAAATAATGGAGGGGGTTTGTGGCAATGTTCATGCCTGCTTGAGGCCTATTTTGTGTCACTTGGTTCAATTGAGGCTGACAGGTCATGGTGGGGAATATACAGCCAAGCATTCACATGTAGCCCCCCCATCAGAGACAGACTAGGCATTCTCACACAGCAGACAGTCTGTCTTTGCATGCATTTTAGGTTGTAATTTCCTGGTTTATCAAGTGAATTCATCATATCAGTATTATTTGAATATTAATTCATATTTTCGTTGATTTGCTGTAGATTAAACATGGTTTTGGCTTGCTTGAGTGGATCATTTTATAATTAAAATGGGATTTTAACATTGTGTTTACCTGATAAATGTAATCATTATGAAACTGATTACATAGCAAGACGATGGGACAGGAAAGAACTTTAGAATCATTTAGTATGATAGGATTTCCCATTCACAGACATGATTCAACAAGTAGTAGACCAACCACTCACACAATATTAGGCTACATTATACAAATGTGATGTCAATTTGGGAAGATAACATTCATAAAATGAAAAAAGAGAAACAACAAACCGAGGAAGTCTTAGAAAGTGTTGGAGTAGAGTTTATACGTTTTGTATTCAGGAAGCACAAGCCTTATTTTTGCAGGCTTTCTTCCCTCAACACTAAATATGAGAATCAGCCGATTGGCCTCTTTTCCTCCGTGACAGTTTCAATTAATCCTGTTACCAGCCAGCAGTTCTGCCGAGATTCTTTTAATCAACTCTTACTCTAAAATGAGTTCATTAGAATGTCTGAGGCAAACATCAAAAGAGGAAGTGGAGAATATTATGTTAGCTTCGTGCTCACCTTTTTTTGTGATTGGTATGCATATCCATGAGCTAACTGGGACTGGATTAAATTTAGTAAATAATTACCATAAATACTGAACAGGAATGGATTAAATTGCAGAGCAGCACTACCAGAAAGCTTTTGAAGACATGCATATTTTTCCCCCTTCTCAAAAGGTACAATAATATTATTATGATCAAACACATAGTAAATCTTAAGTTACAGGTCAGGTTTATGTTAAGTCAATGACTGTTACATGTGAATGGGGTGTTAGATAACAATGACATAAGTAGATTCCTTAATGTGTTACAACAACCAGTATAATGTGGAGCTACGGGCTCCCTCCCCACTCATATATGAAAACCTGACTGTCCATCACATGCTTGTGCACTGCATTTAGGGACGCATCTCGAGCGCACTACTAAAACACACTTCATCATATGCATCCATTCTACCCCCAAGCCATAAGACTGCTAAATAGTTAGTTAAATAGTTAACCGGACCATCTACATTGATCCTTTTTGCAGTAACTTTGACTCCTCAAATATACGCTGCTGCTACTGTTTATTATCTGTCACTTTATTCCTAGTTATATGTGCATATCTACCTCAATTACCTCATACCCCTGCACAGACTCAGTACTGGTACCCCGTTTATATAGCCAAGTTATCGTTACTCATTTTTGATTTATTATTACGTGTTTTACTTTTCTATTATTTCTCTATTTTCTTTCTCTCTGCGTTGTTGGGAACGGCCGTAAGTAAGTATTTCACTGTTGTCACCTGTTGTTTACGAACCATGTGACAAATTTGTAATGATGAGGATGTCGAGACAAGGGAGGTGTGATGTCACAGTGACAGATTAATCAAGGACCAAAGTACAAGCATCCAAAACCCCAAACGCCCAAGGCCAGCTTGACTACTACCTCTACTGGTGCAGAGCCGTTAACCAACCAATGCAGACAGGCTGTGAAGGGGGGGGTAGGCGGGCACAGTGTGGTAGTGGAGCCAATTAGAGAGAAAGAGCCCTGCGCAGGCCAGTGGGGCCCGGTGGGAAGGACTTACTGCAGTATCCTGTAACAGTAGTTGGGGTTTTGGGGCTGTGGAGATTTATACCAGGAGCAACACTGAGAGGCGCTAGAGAGACAGACAGTACAGGCAGTGTGAAACCAAACGAGCAGAGGTCCACACAACAAAACATGAACTGGAGGTGATGAGGAAGAGAGATGTACAAAGAGAAAGGAGAAACAAAAGGAAGAGATACAGTGCTTGCGGAAAGTATTCAGACCCCTTGACTCTTTCCACATTTCTTTACGTTACAGCCTTATTCTAAAATGGATTAAATAAATACAAATCCTCAGCAATCTACACACAATACCCCATAATGACAAAAGCAAAAACAGGTATTTAGATTTTTTTGCAAATGTATTAAACATAAAAACTGAAACACCTAATTTACATCACTATTCAGACCCTTTGCTATGAGACTCTAAATTGAGCTCAGGGGCATCCTGTTTCCATTGACCATCCTTGAGATGTTTCTACAACTTGGAGTCCACCCGTGGTAAATTCAATTGATTGGACATCATTTGGAAAGGCTGTCACCTGTTTATATAAGGTCCCACAGTTGACAGTGCATGTCAGAGCAAAAACCAAGCCATGAGGTCGAAGGAATTGTCCGTAGAGCTCCGAGACAGGATTGTGTCGAGGCACAGATCTGGAGAAGGGTACCAAAAAATGTCTGCAGCATTGAAGGCCCCCAAGAACAGAGTGGCCTCCATCATTCTTAAATGGAAGAAGTTTGGAACCACCAAGACTCTTCCTAGAGCTGGCCACGCAGCCAAACTGAGCAATCGGGGGAGAAGGGCCTTGGTCAGGGAGGTGACCAAGAACCCAATGGTAACTCTGACAGAGCTCCAGAGTTCCTCTGTGGAGATGGGAGAACCTTCCAGAAGGACAACCATCTCTGCAGCACTCAACCAATCAGGCCTTTATGGTAAAGTGGCCAGACGGAAGCCACTCCTCAGTAAAAGGCACATGACAGCCCGCTTGGAGTTTGCCAAAAGGCATCTAAAGACTCTCAGACCATGAGAAACAAGATTGAACTATTTTGCCTGAATGCCAAGCGTCACGTCTGGAGCAAACCTGGCACCATCCCTACGGTGAAGCGCGGTGGTGGCAGCATCATGCTGTGGGGATGTTTTTCAACGGCAGGGACTGGGAGACTAGTCGGGGTCGAGGGAAAGATTAACAGAGCAAAGTACAGAGAGATCCTTGATGAAAACCTGCTCCAGAGTGCTCAGAACCTCAGACTGGGGTGAAGGTTCACCTTCCAACAGGACAACGACCCTAAGCACACAGCCAAGACAAAGCAGGAGTGGCTTTGGGACAAGTCTCTGAATGTCCTTGAGTGGCCCAGCCAGAGCCTGGACTTGAACCCGATCGATCATCTCTGGAGAGACCTGAAAATAGCTGTGTAGCAACACTCCCATCCAACCTGACAGAGCTAGTGAGGATCGGCAGAGAACAATGGGAGAACCTCCCAAATACAGGTGTGCCAAGCTTGAAGCGTCATATCCAAGAAGACTCAAGGCTGCAATCACTGCAAAAGGTGCTTCAACAAAGTACTGAGTAAAGGGTCTGAAAACATATGTAAACGTGATATTTCAGTTGTAAAAAAATCAATTTTAGAATAAGGCTGTAACGTAACAAAATGTGGAAAAAGTAAACGGGTCTGAATACTTTCCGAATGCGCTGTATATAGAAAATAAGGAAGAAACCCAAAACAGATCATGAAAGACAGAGATAGAATAGCATGATTAAGAGAGAGGGGAGGGGAATGTGAGGATGAGGTGAAAGAGAAACAGAAAATAGAGGGTACGACTGACAATTAATGGGGGAGTTGCGCGTGATTTCTAAGGACCTACCCCCTTGTCGGTTTTCAACGTTTTGATCTGAAGTGGTTTGGCTGAAGTTTGAGGATGTTGCACACTGCAGTTATTCAGCAGGCGGTCTTATTCAGTTAAATTGCCTGTATTAGAATGTAGCATGGCAGCACAATTTGATTCTGCAAAAACCCTTTACCATTCTTTACAGGATGGGATGGGACCATTTGTACAGAATTCTACACTTGGCTAAAGGGCGATTTCAGTCGTTAGCGGAAAGGTGGGCAGATTGGAGGCTCCCGATTGGGTTACAGCTGCTGTGGGTGAGGGGGAGCTAGGCAGTCTTCCATTGGTGGGACTCACCTTCCTGTGTGATGCAGATGGAACCACTGCCCATGCCCACTCGCAGGCCGTCCACCCCAGCGTCGATCAGGTTCTTGGCCTGGGCTGCAGTTACCACTGAGACAGACAGATCAACAATGTCACAGGGTGTTGCATAGTGCAATCATGAAATGAGGCAGTTCTGAGAATGGAGCATTTCTCTCTTTCTGTGTGTGTGTGTGTGTGTGTGTGTGTGTGTGTGTGTGTGTGTACACCACTTACCATTGCCTCCAATGACCTGAAGCTGTGGGTATTTCTCTTTGATGTACTTAATCATGTTGATTTGGAAGATCGAGTTCCCTTGAGAGGAGTCCTGAACAAATGAGAGCAACATTAAAGGGGCAATCTGTGATTGCTACATCTATTTTTAGACGTAACTAATTATATATACACACCGATTATTGAATAAAATAACTTATAGATGCCTCAATAGCTTTAGTTCAACTGCCATACCCCATACACATCATTGGTCATACTTAATGATCGTACTCCTTTGTTTGTAAACATTGTAATTGTAAACAAACACTGTATAGCCACAAAACATGGTTAAAACTATAAATTAGATATCATGTACGGTCAGTCCTTGTATCCATAGCTCCGTCTTGAGAAAGGTTACATTTCTCCAGCCCCATCCCTCAGCTTTTTACCACAATAGTGGCAGGGTATACCGCTTTGTTATTGTTAGAACTGCAGATTGCACCTTTAAAGAACAGTTCAAAGAAGAAAAAGATGGAGAAAGTATCCATGAAGAGAATAACAAGTAGATTGGGTAGGAGAACCAGTAACCCACCAGTACGACCACGTCTACGCCGCTCTGCACCAGCAGGTCCAGCCTGTACTTGTCGTCGTTGTGCGTGCCGATGGCTGCCCCACACAGCAGCTGTTTGCGTGAGTCTTTAGAGGCCAGGGGGAAGTCCCTGTTCTTCTTCAGATCCGTCCTGGCGATGATGGACACCAGGCAGCCCTCCTTGTTCACTATGGGCAGCTTACCTACACAGAGACATGGTGTTTAGAATGGGGCCCTCGAACACACGAGGCATGTTGGTGTAGGCTATATGACAGTCTCGTTCACTTTTTATGGTGAACCTTCTCCCCTTTTCCCCAGATCCCGCCTCCTCACCTTTCTTACTCCTCTGCAGGATCTCATTGGCCTCTTTCAGTGTCACTCCAGCTGGAGCTATGACAAGGTCCTCAAGCTTAGTCATCACCTGTAGTGGTGAAGGAAAGGAGAGAACAAAAGAAGATTAGCATTTACCTTCGGACGCGAGTTAGAGAATGGCAGGGAAGTCAACTAAATACATTTACACCGATTTAAAAATACTAACTGGATCAACACAGTGATATGCGTTAAGCCACACCTACCTCACTGAGTGGCAGGGTGTGCTCCTCCTCCTTCAGGAAGTCAATGTCCCGCGAGGAGATGATGCCAACGAGGCGCCCCCCCATGTGGCCGCTGTCTGTGATGGGGATGCCGCAGAAGCCGTGGCGTGCCTTAGCCTGGAACACGTCTGCCACGCAGTCTGTAGGACTCATCACTACTGGGTCTGTGATGAAACCCTGCTCATACCGCTGGGAGAGAGAGGGGGGAGGAAAGGAAGGAGAAGAGGGGAAAAAGAGGGAGCAGGGATTGAGGGATGTGGGAGCGGAGGGCAGAAAGTGGAGGGGAAAGAATATAAATGGGGGAGGGGAAAGAGGGACGTGGGAGAGAGGGGAACAGGTAGGGGAGAGAAAGAGAGGGTAAGGGTATCTATTAGGCTCTGCAAATCTACAGGGTATTTAAAAAGCACACCAGAGCGCATGAGCGATAGATGAAAAATGAAACTGGAGAAGAGAGAAAACGATTGCTTCCTCTTCTAGCGGGAACACTACAGTGAAACAGTAGCAACTAGGTTGGCAGGAGGACCAGACCAAAAGAGAGCAGACAATAACATGAGTAGCAGAGACACACATACAGAAATACACATGTAACAAAGAACAGAAATATAAAGGGAGATGAAGAGTGAAAAAGAGAGAATTGTAGTAGGGGTCATTACCTTGACCTTGCGGACCTCGTTGGCCTGGAACTCTGGAGTGCAGTTGTGGTGGATGAAGCCTATTCCTCCTGTGAGCTGAAAGATGATCAGAAGAACATGTTTACTTGCCAGTTTGTGTGTGTGAGTGAGGATGCGTGTCCTCAGACATGATCTCTAGCTGAAGTTGCCTGTAAGGACTTATGCAGAACAACTAGTTTCAAGCTTTAAGGGAATTCTTGGCATTTGTTTTGCAGTGAAGACTGATGTTTCCACTGCGACGTTTGCCTCTGGGGGGGGCTTTACAAAACAACCATCTTAGGTTACTATTTTAAGTGACACATATTTGCAGCTGTTGTAGTCACTTCAACATACCCTGGGAGAAAGTACTGGTTGTTTTCCAACAGCTGAGGATGTTTCTGCTATCAGGGGTTTTATAGGGTGGCGGGTTTGTTGCTTGTGGTCTCATGTCACCATGTGATCATGTGATCGGTCTTTGACAGCAAAGACGTTTTTTATTACTTGTTGCTTCCTTGGTAGCTGTGCCAACAGCTGTGAAGAAGATTGTCGTCACGTTTATCGAGCTTAGTTTTTATGAAAGTTGGCCTAACACGGCTGTTTACTTTGTGTTTTGCTGAGTCTACTTTAAAAACGTTCCATTATGTCGCCATGCTAAAGTGTGTGTGTGTTTACACCACTTACTGCCATGGCAATGGCCAGCGCTGACTCGGTGACTGTGTCCATGGGGGAGGATACAAAAGGTGTTTTCATGGTGATCTGCTTTGTCAGGGCTGAAGTCAAATCCTGCAGAAGACACAAACCAGTTACTACATGTAACAAACACTTATTGTAGTAACAAACCTTTCACAGCGCTCTGTTGCCAATCAAGATTACAATGGGAAGGTCTTTCTTGTAATCTTAAATTGAATATTTGGGTCGAATTCACTAGGCAACAAACGGAAGAAAATGGACTGAAACGGGAGGGACTACCTGAACTTATCCGATAAGAAACACACATTTTTGGTTTCCATTGCTAAATGTTTTGCTATGGTGTGCACTAATGAATAGGACACCGGTCACGGAGGGTCAGAAGCCCTGTTGTCTTGAAGAATAAGGGTTCCACTCACCACCTGTTCCGATGTGAAGTCAATGTATCCTGGGAGAATCAGGAAGTCACTGAGAGAGAGAGAAAGAAAGAGAGAGGAGAGCAGGGACAGGCTTCACATGCTGCATACAATCTATCAATGATATTCATACACATTTGCAATTCCACACGTGTCAGTATGTACAGTAAGGTGTTACGAAATTACACGAGGGGCAGCCAAATGTGAAGTTCCTTCTTCAGATGGACAATAAAGTCATATTCTATCCAATTTTTTTTCATTGACAGTGGCCGTACCAAATTCTACGATATCTTTCGACAACACTTGAGTGGGAATGCAAAAGTTCAGTGTTCGATAATCTGAGCAAATTGCGATATCCGGAACTCGACGTGGGACTAACTGATATCGGAGTGGAGTGTGCATGCGATGAGCAGGGTCCTGTGTTGTCACAGGTTAGTGCTGATGACCAACACATTCCTAAAGGTCCTGAGAAGTGATGCAAGCATGACTAAATCGCTTTGGATAAAAACATCTGCTAAATGGCATTTATTATTATAATGATAAGTTTCCAAGCACACTGTCTGTCTGGTACTAACTAGTTGAGATTTTGAAATATGCTGTTGCACGTGCATACGAGTACTATGAAGGTGTATACGAGTACTATGAAGGCCCATGTTTCTAGGAGGAGAATACTTGGCCTATATTAAGCATGGAATGCGCAGAATGAGATGTGATGGTAACTTCACTAAAGAGTAGACAAGTGATGAGGCCAATGATGTGTATAAACCATCATTGGATGAGGCACTGTGGCAAATAGACTATACTTCTGCCTAACAAGTGCTTATTGTTCATGCCAATACAACCATACTCTAGAATATCTTGACATGATGAAATTACTCAAATGTAAAATGTAATTATGCCTCCAGGGTGTCATAATTAGTTAGCTACATTGTCACACAAGGCAAGTCATGCTTGGTATTCCTAATTCAACTGCTGGAAAACTAAGCTACCGACTGCAAAAATGAGTTATTGTCTTGTGTATATGTTTCATAACAGACACTGAAAGTAGGTTTATTATTGATGAATACAATTTTGAGAAATATGTCCCAGACACCCTCTAGAGGAAAGTTCAAATCACAGGCTTGCATAGCTGAATATAGCCAGGCCTATACAGAACCTTACCAAATACCCATCTACTTCTTTCAGATATTATTTTGGTAGATTTGAGTCAGTCCCCAAAGTAAAATTGTTACCTAACTCGCTGTCACTTGAAAGAATGAGTTGACCCGGGAAACCTAAGTCGGTAGACCCATTGCCATGTAGAAATAATTGCATGTACTGCAATGACCCAAAGCACCCAAATCCCATGCATGCACAAATAATAGTATAGCTAATGTGTCAAAGACTAAATATATGGCTCTGGTTACTAGCTAGCTAGCTACAAAGGTTATTCAAGTTAACTCAAGAACGCAAGCGAATTGTGATGGATTTCAACAAGCAGCCATGTGACTGTCAAATGCCAATAATTACTTGTAGGTAAGGCCGTCCCCGTAGTTGAAGAGTTGCTGCCCGCTGAGTCCATCATCGGGCACGTAACTAGTCTGTCCACTGATCAGGTAGTCCGCCATTATACAATCTATGTATCTATGTTAGTGTTTTATCAGTCACTTTGGTGCTAAACCGACAACGGCCCAAGAGACCGAGAACTTTCTTCGTTTCTTCGCTTCACTCCTAACGTTAGTTACGATCGGCGATGTATCAGTCAGCTGTGGCGTGGTGCGACCGTGCGCTGTCCCTTGTCAAGAAGACCCGCTCTTGGCTATACAAATTACATGTAATACATTCACGACAGTAAAACATTAACTGAAATGCCCTCTATTCTTCGGCCTTCAACGTTATCATGCTCCTGTCCTGTCTGTAGATTCCTTTGGTCGCACACGTTTTCGTCTGACAACCTTCTTCTTCGGGGTTTTATGGCGGTGTGATACTAATATTAGGTGCCCTACCGCCACCTACCGCGCTGGAGTGGAATGGAAACTATGGAGGTGTTCTAGATTCTGCACTCCGGTCCAGGGGTTTTCAAACTTGTTAATGGCAAGGACCCCAAAATATTGAGCCCCTGGGCGAGGACCCCCTACAATTTGCATTTATTTTCGTGAGCGAATTAAGTTCCTGAGAGCTGCATGCAGCTTGCAGTTTTAAAGCAAATTTCCTGCTATTCTACACATTTTGCCATGGCTCATGCTTTGTTCATATTTGAGCAGGGTCAGCTCTAGCCTTTTAGGCCCCCAAGTAAGTTTTGGTCGGGTCCGGAATAATAATTGAGTAGTGGGCCCCCTGGAGGCCAGGGCCCCGGGACCCGCATGCCCGTCAGTAATAAGGCCCTGACTAGCACTACTGTACAGAGTAAGGCAAAGGCTATTTGCATATTGATGGAAAATTATGATTGTCAATGGGGGTGGATAGGAAAGACAGAAAGATAGATCAAGATTTTACCAAACATGTTCTGTAGGTTTAATAAAACCAATATTTAATTTAGTGAAAAAATATATATAATCCGCACCTGTGGACGTCGGGCCCTCACACCACCCTCATGGAGTCTGTTTCTGACCGTTTGAGCAGACACATGCACATTTGTGGCCTGCTCGAGGTCATTTTGCAGGGCTCTGGCAGTGCTCCTCCTGCTCCTCCTTGCACAAAGGCGGAGGTAGCAGTCCTGCTGCTGGGTTGTTGCCCTCCTACGGCCTCCTCCACGTCTCCTGATGTACTGGCCTGTCTCCTGGTAGCGCCTCCATGCTCTGGACACTACGCTGACAGACACAGCAAACCTTCTTGCCACAGCTCGCATTGATGTGCCATCCTGGATGAGCTGCACTACCTGAGCCACTTGTGTGGGTTGTAGACTCCGTCTCACGCTACCACTAGAGTGAAAGCACCGCCAGCATTCAAAAGTGACCAAAACATCAGCCAGGAAGCATAGGAACTGAGAAGTGGTCTGTGGTCACCACCTGCAAAACCAGTCCTTTATTGGGGGTGTCTTGCTAATTGCCTATAATTTCCACCTGTTGTCTATTCCATTTGCACAACAGCATGTGAAATTTATTGTCAATCAGTGTTGCTTCCTAAGTGGACAGTTTGATTTCACAGAAGTGTGATTGACTTGGAGTTACATTGTGTTGTTTAAGTGTTCCCTTTATTTTTTTGAGCAGTGTATATATATATACATACATACACAGTTGAAGTCAGAAGTTTACATACACCTTAGCCAAATACATTTAAACTCAGTTTTGTACAATTTCTGACATTTAATCCTAGTAAAAAGTCCCTGTCTTAGGTCAGGTAGGATCACCACTTTATTTTAAAAATGTGAAATGTCAGAATAATAGTAGAGAGAATGATTTATTTCAGCTTTTATTTCTTTCATCACATTCCCAGTGGGTCAGAAGTTTACGTACACTCAATTAGTATTTGGTAGCATTGCCTTTAAATTGTTTAACTTGGGTCAAACTTTTCAGGTAGCCTTCCACAAGCTTCCCACAATAAGTTAGGTGAATTGTGGCCCATTCCTCCTGACAGAGCTAGTGTAACTGAGTCAGGTTTGTAAGCCTCCTTGCTCGCACATGCTTTTTCAGTTGAAGTGCACCAGTCCCTCCTGCAGCAAAGCACCCCCACAGCATGATGCTGCCACCCCCGTGCTTCACGGTTGGGATGGTGTTCTTCGGCTTGCAAGCATTCCCCTTTTTCCTCCAAACATAACGATGGTCATTATGGCAAAACAGTTCTTTTTTTGTTTCATCAGACCAGAGGACATTTCTCCAAAAAGTACAATCTTTGTCCCCATGTGCAGTTGCAAACCGTAGTCTGGCTTTTTTATGGCGGTTTTGGAGCAGTGGCTTCTTCCTTGCTGAGCGGCCTTTCAGGTTATGTCGACATAGGACTCGTTTTACTGTGGATATAGATACTTTTGTACCTGTTTCCTCCAGAATCTTCACAAGGTCCTTTGCTGTTGTTCTGGGATTGATTTGCACTTTTCGCACCAAAGTACGTTCATCTCTAGGAGACAGAATGCGTCTTCTTCCTGAGCGGTATGACGGCAGCGTGGTCCCATGGTGTTTATATTTGCGTACTATTGTTTGTACAGATGAACGTGGTACCTTCAGGCGTTTGGAAATTGCTCCCAAGGATGAACCAGACTTGTGGAGGTCTACAATTATTTTGCTGAGGTCTTGGCTTATTTCTTTTGATTTTCCCATGATGTCAAGTAAAGAGGCCCTGAGTTTGAAGGTAGTCCTTGAAATACATCCACAAGTACACCTCCAATTGACTCAAATTATGTCAATTAGCCTATCAGAAGCTTCTAAATCATTTTCTGGAATTTTCCAAGCTGTTTAAAGGCATAGTCAACTTAGTGTATGTAAACTTCTGACCCACTGGAATTGTGATACAGTGAATTATAAGTGAAATAATCTGTCTGTAAACAATTGTTGGAACAATTACTTGTGTCATGCACAAAGTAGATGTCTTAACCAACTTGCCAAAACTATAGTTTGTTAACAAGAAATTTGTGGTTGAAAAACAACTTTTAATGACTCCAACTTAAGTGTTTGTAAACTTCCGACTTCAACTGTATATACACACATACATATACAGTGAGGGAAAAAAGAATTTGATCCCCTGCTGATTTTGTAAGTTTGCCCACTGACAAAGAAATGATCAGTCTATAATTTTACTGGTAGGTTTATTTGAACAGTGAGAGACAGAATAACAACAACAAAAATCCAGAAAAACGCATGTCAAAAATGTTATAAATTAATTTGCATTTTAATGAGGGAAATAAGTACTTGACCCCCTCTCAATCAGAAAGATTTCTGGCGCACAGGTGTCTTTTATACAGGTAACGAGCTGAGATTAGGAGCACACTCTTAAAGGGAGTGCTCCTAATCTCAGCTTGTTACCTTTATAAAAGACACATGTCCACAGAAGCAATCAATCAGATTCCAAACTCTCCACCATGGCCAAGACCAAAGACCTCTCCAAGGATGTCAGGGACAAGATTGTAGACCTACACAAGGCTGGACTGGGCTACAAGACCATCGCCAAGCAGCTTGGTGAGAAGGTGACAACAGTTGGTGCGATTATTCGCAAATGGAAGAAACACAAAATAACTGTCAGTCTCCCTCGGCCTGGGGCTCCATGCAAGATCTCACCTCGTGGAGTTGCAATGATCATGAGAACAGTGAGGAATCAGCCCAGAACTACACGGGAGGATCTGGTCAATGATCTCAAGGCAGCTGGGACCATAGTCACCAAGAAAACAATTGGTAACACACTATGCCGTGAAGGACTGAAAGCCTGCAGCGCCCGCAAGGTCCCCCTGCTCAAGAAAGCACATATACAGGGCCGTCTAATGTTTGCCAATGAACATCTGAATGATTCAGAGGAGAACTGGGTGTAAGTGTTGTAGTCAGATGAGACCAAAATGGAGCTCTTTGGCATCAACTCAACTCGCCGTGTTTGGAGGAGGAGGAATGCTGCCTATGACCCCAAGAACACCATCCCCACCGTCAAACATGGAGGTGGAAACATTATGCTTTGGGGGTGTTTTTCTGCTAAGGGGACAGGACAACTTCACCGCATCAAAGGGACGATGGACGGGGCCATGTACCGTCAAATCTTGGGTGAGAACCTCCTTCCCTCAGCCAGGGCATTGAAAATGGGTCGTGGATGGGTATTCCAGCATGACAATGACCCAAAACACACGGTCAAGGCAACAAAGGAGTGGCTCAAGAAGAAGCACATTAAGGTCCTGGAGTGGCCTAGCCAGTCTCCAGACCTTAATCCCATAGAAAATCTGTGGAGGGAGCTGAAGGTTTGAGTTGACAAACGTCAGCCTCCAAACCTTAATGACTTGGAGAAGATCTGCAAAGAGGAGTGGAACAAAATCCCTCCTGAGATGTGTGCAAACCTGGTGGCCAACTACAAGAAACGTCTGACCTCTGTGATTGGCAACAAGGGTTTTGCCAACAAGTACTAAGTCATGTTTTGCAGAGGGGTCAAATACTTATTTTCCTCATTAAAATGCAAATCAATTTATAACATTTTTGACATGCGTTTTTCTGGATTTTGTTGTTGTTATTCTGTCTCTCACTGTTCAAATAAACCTACCATTAAAATTATAGACTGATCATGTCTTTGTCAGTGGGCAAACGTACATAATCAGCAGGGGATCAAATACTTTTTTCCCCTCACTGTACATACTATATACATTTTATGGACACAGTCAAATTCTACAATAATTATATTTTGTTAGATTTATTGGGAATTTAGCCAGGACATCAGAATTAACACCCATACTCTTAGGATAAGTGGCATGGGATCTTTAGTGACCACAGTTTGACCACCTATTTTACATCCCATCCGAAAGACTGGACGCTACACAGAGCAATGTCCCCAATCACTACCCTGGGGTATTGGATGTTTCTAGATCAGAGCCTCCTACTGGCCCTCCAACACCACTTCTAGCAGCATTTGGTCTCCCATCCAGGGACCAACCCTGCTTAGCTTCCGAGGTAAGCCAGCAGTGGGATGCAGGGTGGTATGCTGCTGGCTTAAGTCATGCGTCATTTCCAGGACAACCCTAACTCCGCCCTATACTCGAAAAATCTTGCAGTTTGTGTAGGTGTTGATTACTGTCATCCCCCATTTAAAGTCTGTGGACCTCCCACTAGTAAAGTGGCACACATAAAAGGACAGACGGCATTCGACCAGTTATTAATATATCTGGCACACGATGCTGCCTATATTTGGGCCTAGCAGACTGACCTGAATAAGCAATGACTACGCTGCAGCTCTTGTTTAGAGGCTGTGTCGAAATAAATGCATTGTGGAGGCCTGTTTGTGTTGAAAGGTCAGAGGGTTTCACAACATTTGAACACGTCTGAAGTGTTCAGTATGGTTGCGTTTAGACAGGCAGCCAAATTCTGATATTTATTTCACTAATTGGTCTTTTGGCCAACCAGATAAGCTCTGAAAAAGATCCGATGTGGTCAAAAGACCAATTAGTGGAAAAAATACCAGAATTGGGCTGCTTGTTTAAAGCAGTCGCTGACCTGTATCTGAGCAGCATGACAGTCCTAAAGTTAAGGGTCTGTGTATACTGATTGAGAGTAAAGGTGAACTGATAAAGGACTGACTCGAAGATCTGGGTCAACCCATTGCCAACCACACCCCAGCTGGTGAACCTAGCCTGGGTGCCAGTTCGTTTCTGCTCTCTTGCCAACTCTTACGGGCATTGTCATTCCGTGTGTGTGATAATGAATACAAAAGAAACGACATCTGGTTTAAAAACTCAGTAACTATTTCTGTATTAATGTACAACTGTTGAAAATTACAGCATTTGTCTTCTTTTAATGTTTTTTTTTCTTTTTTCGAACTAACTATCAATTTCCAGAAAAAGGTGAACAATGTGAGATGAAAGAAATAAAGAAAGAGGGGTTGAGGGATGGGGGGGGATCATGTGGGAGGCAAATTAAGAATGTGTTTTTTTTTGCGGAGTGTTTGAGCATGTTTGTGTTAACATGTTATGTGTGTGTGCGCATGCTTTCTCATTTCATGGTGTAGTGTGTTTGAATGTGGTGTTCTTGACATCTAAATGGGGGGAGGGTGGAAGGGAGGAGGGACGGGATACAATCGTGCCATCCTGGGACCCTGTAGCAGACACAAAGAGAAGAGAGCGCTTAATGAGGGAGGGATGAGTGTGAGGGATCTGTAGACAAAGGGATGGAAAGTGAAGGAGGGAGGGGTGAACGAGGGAGGAAGGAGGGAGCTTCTGGTGCTTTGCAGTAGGCTGGAGACTTCAGGTGTCGTGAAAATCCTTCAGCAGCGTGCGTCTCCTCTGCTCAGCAATGTGCATCTGATTCTCCAGATCCTGAAAGAGACAGAGAGTGAGTGGAAGCAGTTAAATTCTTCACATAAGAGTCTAATAAACTAATACACTGCCTAGGGACGTACATCTTTTGGGGACCTTGTGATTTCCCAAGGCGTGCCATTACCACTCAGCTCCCCTGTGCTCCCAGCCAATGGAAGTCATGATCTGGATACTTCAATATCCATGTACCCCCCCCCCAACCCCCTTCATATCTTCCCCCTGTTCCTTACCCCTCTGTCATTAGCACTCAGCTCCCCCTCGCTCCCGTAGCTGTCTGCTCGCTCCACCTTCCAGGACAGGTTCTCAATCTCCGCTTCCAGCTGGGCCTGCTGGTACTCAAACTGAATATGACATAAAAACGCATTCATTAGGCTACTTGTTCATTACAGACAGCATCTTTGTTACTTATGACTTATTATTAGCAATTAGCAGCACCCTCCCCGTAAAAAAGATCTGATCAATTTCATTCAATTTCATTTGTGGACTGCAACCATCATAGAATCGTTCACTCAATAACCCCCTTGCAAAGCACATTTATGCTGCTAATAAGAAATGTGCCATTTCACGTATTTTGTTCACTGCTCATGCAAAATGTCACCCTGTGTGCACAATACTGAAAAATTATTTGGTTACAAATTTAACTGAGTGTGCAGAGCCATGGATGAGTGTTTACCCTATATTCATTTAGCAGCGGCGCACAGTTACTGCTAAATTGTGGCCGTCACTGCATCAAATTGTTTATGTTTTGGGGTGGGGGGGAATTATTTTCTGGATGGTTAAACATTTTCAGTGTAAACTTAAACGACTAAAACATGTAGAAAAGATAACGGAGCAATATATTTTTTAATAACATCTTCGAGAACTAAGAATCACCAAAATAAAAACTAGACAGTCAGGGAGAATCAGAAATTCAAAAAAAAAAAATGTCATGGCATGGGGCCCCCATTGATTTAGTTTGAGTCACTCAGACAGCATAAGAAGGCATAAACCATGGAAAAATGTGTAGAATTGCAAGAAACTAGCTTAAAAAAAAGATTTAAAAAAAGTAAACAAGGTCTCTGCAGCCAAGAGGAGCACCTCTAAAACTGCACCATTGGCCAAAATTGTAGGGGACATCCCCCCGCTGTTAAGTGGCTTACGGTATTATAGTATAGATCTTTAGCATTTGACTAGATCTATTTAAATCTAGTTTATATACTGAACAAAAACATTGGTTTTACTGGGTTGCAGTTCAAATGAGGAAATCAGTCAATTGAAATAAATTCATTAGGCTCTAATCTATGGATTTCACATGACTGGGAATACAGATATGCATCTGTTGGATCTCATCACTGTATTTTTGTGCATTCAAATTGCCATCGATAAAATGCAATTGTGTTTGCTTTCCGTAGCTTATGCCTGCAAATACCCTAACCCCACCATGGGGCACTCTGTTCACAACGTTGACATCAGCAAACCGCTTGCCCACACGACGCCATACATGTGGTATGCGGTTGTGAGGCTGGTTGAACGTACAACCAAATTCTCTAAAACGACGTTGGAGGCGGCTTATGGTAGAGAAATGAACATTCAATTATCTGGAAACAGCTAGGGTGGACATTCCTGCAGTAAGCATGCCAATTGTACACTTCCTCAAAACATCTGTGGCATTGTGTTGATTGTCAAAACGGCACGTTTTAGAGTACCCTTTTATTGTCCCCAGCACAAGGCGCACCTGGGTAATGATCATGCTGTTTAATCAGCTTCTTGATATGCCACACCTGTCAGGTGGATGGATTATCTTGGCAAAAGGAAAAATGCTCACTAACAAGGATGTAAACAAATGTGTGCACAACATTTGAGAGAAATAAGCTTTTTGTGCATATGGACAATTTCTGGGATCTTTTATTTCAGCTCCTGAAACATGGGAACAACACTTTACATGTTGCGGTTACATTTTTGTTCAGTGTATATTAAGAGAATGCAGTGGTAAAAATACTTGAAAGTACTACTTAAGTCGTTTTTGGGGGTATCTGTACTTTACTATTTATATTTTGGACAACTTTTACTTGACTACATTCCTAAAAAAAATAATGTACTTTTTACTCCATACATTTTCCCTGACACCCAAAAGTACTCATTACATTTTGAATGCTTTGCAGGACAGGAAAATGGTACAATTCACAAGCTTCTCAAGAGAACATACCCTGGTCATCCCTACTGCCTCTGATCTAGCGGACTCACTAAACACACATGCTTCATTTGTAAGTGTTGGAGTGTGCCCCTGGATTTCCATAAATAAATAAAAACTAGAAAATGGCACCATCTGGTTTGCTTAATATAAAGGAATTTGAAATTATTTGTACTTTTACTTTTGATACTTAAGTATTTTGAGCAATTATATTGACTTTTGCTCCTTAAGTATATTAAAACCAAATACTTTTAGATGTTTACTCAAGTAGTATTTTACTGGGTGACTTTCACTTGAGTCAATTTCTATTAAGGCATCTTTACCTTTACTCAAGTATGACATACTACAGACAGACACAGAACAAGACAGGCACACAGACACAATTCTCACCAGTTTTTTGCGAGGACCAGACTCCATGTAGTAGGCATAGGGGTAAGTATACTGCAGAGTGTAGCGACACTGTGGGACAGGCAGATAAGAGATCAGCACGACTTGCTATTGGTTTAAGGAGCACAGTGTAGTGCTGTAAGTCAAATAAGTACACAGATACCCCTTTCACACCATTATGCTGACCTGAACCAAACTGTGCCGGCTCGGATATATATGGTATATACTTGGTTTGGCTCCTCTCAGTAACAATAATAAATGTGTATTGTGAAAAGCCCTATATACAGTGGGGAGAACAAGTATTTGAGTCTGTAATTTTTATAATAGGTACACTTCAACTGTGAGAGACGGAATCTAAAACAAAAATCCAGAAAATCACATTGTATGATTTTTAATTAATTTGCATTTTATTGCATGACATAAGTATTTGATACATCAGAAAAGCAGAACTTAATATTTGGTACAGAAACCTTTGTTTGCAATTACAGAGATCATACGTTTCCTGTAGGTATTGACCAGGTTTGCACACACTGCAGCAGGGATTTTGGCCCACTCCTCCATACAGACCTTCTCCAGATCCTTCAGGTTTCGGGGCTGTCGCTGGGCAATACGGACTTTCAGCTCCCTCCAAAGATTTTCTATTGGGTTCAGGTCTGGAGACTGGCTAGGCCACTCCAGGACCTTGAGATGCTTCTTACGGAGCCACTCCTTAGTTGCCCTGGCTGTGTGTTTGGGGTCGTTGTCATGCTGGAAGACCCAGCCACGACCCATCTTCAATGCTCTTACTGAGGGAAGGAGGTTGTTGGCCAAGATCTCGCGATACATGGCCCCATCCATCCTCCCCTCAATACGGTGCAGTCGTCCTGTCCCCTTTGCAGAAAAGCATCCCCAAAGAATGATGTTTCCACCTCCATGCTTCACGGTTGGGATGGTGTTCTTGGGGTTGTACTCATCCTTCTTCTTCCTCCAAACACGGCGAGTGGAGTTTAGACCAAAATGCTCTCTATTTTTGTCTCATCAGACCACATGACCTTCTCCCATTCCTCCTCTGGATCATCCAGATGGTCATTGGCAAACTTTTTTTTTATTTTTTTTTATATATATTTTTTTCCATTAAATTTTTTTTATTTATTTTTTTTGTCATTTAGCAGACGCTCTTATCCAGAGCGACTTACAGGAGCAATTAGGGTTAAGTGCCTTGCTCAAGGGCACATCGACAGATTTTTCACCTAGTCGGCTCGGGGATTAGAACCAGCGACCTTTCGGTTACTGGCACTACGCTCTTAACCACTAAGCTACCTGCCGCCCTAAACTTCAGATGGGCCTGGACATGCGCTGGCTTGAGCAGTTGGACCTTGCGTGCGCTGCAGGATTTTAATCCATGACGGCGTAGTGTGTTACTAATGGTTTTCTTTGAGACTGTGGTCCCAGCTCTCTTCAGGTCATTGACCAGGTCCTGCCGTGTAGTTCTGGGCTGATCCCTCACCTTCCTCATGATCATTGATGCCCCATGAGGTGAGATCTTGCATGGAGCCCCAGACCGAGGGTGATTGACCGTCATCTTGAACTTCTTTCATTTTCTAATAATTGCGCCAACAGTTGTTGCCTTCTCACCAAGCTGCTTGCCTATTGTCCTGTAGCCCATCCCAGCCTTGTGCAGGTCTACAATTTTATCCCTGATGTCCTTACACAGCTCTCAGGTCTTGGCCATTGTGGAGAGGTTGGAGTCTGTTTGATGGAGTGTGTGGACAGGTGTCTTTTATACAGGTAACGAGTTCAAACAGGTGCAGTTAATACAGGTAATGAGTGGAGAACAGGAGGGCTTCTTAAAGAAAAACTAACAGGTCTGTGAGAGCGGAATTCTTACTGGTTGGTAGGTGATCAAATACTTATGTCATGCAATAAAATGCAAATGAATTACTTAAAAATCATACAATGTGATTTTCTGGATTTTTGTTTTAGATTCCGTCTCTCACAGTTGAAGTGTACCTATGATAAAAATTACAGACCTCTACATGCTTTGTAAGTAGGAAAACCTGCAAAATCGGCAGTGTATCAAATACTTGTTCTCCTCACTGTATATTCCTGTGTTAATGTGTGTGTTTGGTCCTTTGTATGTGACTGTGAGCCAGGGAGGAGCCGTAGTACCTTGGCCAGGAGCTTGGCAGCGTTCTGCATGTACTGCCAGTCTATCCAGGTGCCCAGGTTGTTCATCACCCGCTCCTGGATCTTCTCCTGGATCCGCTGGTATGTCTGCGCCTCAAGCTGGAGACTCTTATTGTGGTTCTCCCACTAAAGACACACAAACACACAGTCACAGTCTGGACTGGAGAAACAGTAAGAAAACATCACAGACACACCTTCAAGAAACTCACATACTTACAGCATGTTCTGGGTGATTCTGAGAAGGATCTCAGTGTTAATTTGACATGGTGTTGTTGCTTGTAACACTCACAGAGTTGTTATTGAACATGTATGTGAGACTGAGTTCCCATAATCTAAAAGTACCAGAGATAATGTGCAGACTACTTCTGTGGAAGTATGTGTGACTGAGGAACATATGTACTATCCTTGAAAGTGCACAGTATGTATTAATATAATTATTTTCTATATATTTTAAATGTATGGCGCTGGTTGACATTACATGTGCTGAAGGTGGTGGCGCTAAGTGGTAGACAAACCACAGGCCACCTGATTGACAGTTACTCTGGCAACGCACAGGTATTTGATGTAGTTCATGTCATCTATTCACATTACACACAGCTTAATACTTCAGAAAGGTTAACTTAATTCCATATAATACTCAAAGTGTGAGCAGAGGTTTGATTGTCATATGTACCCGTCAGTGATGGTAGCATGTTAGTGTTTGTATTCTTCTCACCCTCTCAAAGTAGAAGAGGTATTTCTTCAGGGCCTCTCTGGCCTGTGCCTGCTGGCTCTGGTTGACGATGTCTGGGTTCTCCTTGTAGCGACTGCACTCATAGTACTCACTGCCATGGGTCTTCCAGTCCCCCAGACACATCCAGCAGAAGTCTACACACACACACACACAGTGATGATGACATTAACGGAAAAACAATATGATCTCAATGTCAAATGGGTCGCATTTGGCTCGAGTCCGTTAAATCATTAGAACGTCTGAAAAATTGATAGGTAGAAAAGCTAATTCGGTGTTAAGCTGTAAGAAGCAGTATAATTGGATAAATACCGTGTTTGCACTTGGAGCATTGCTGAAACAGTGAGGAAACGCAATGTCAGACAATAATAAAGAACATGTAAAGGCAGACATTCACATAAAAGCTCCAGAGATTTAGAGAACACTAACGCAAATGACAATGTGCTGACAGTTGGCGCAACTCTGAGATGATGCTGGATTCCATTACCACTCACCATGTGGTTGCAGCCTCCATTCTTCTCAATGCAGATATTGCACTTAGGACACTGAAAAACACATTATTCGACATTATGGACAAAAGCAAAGGAGAATATTGGAAAACCACACATAATTGCATTTCATTTTGTGTGCGTGTGTGGCCTGTCTTACATCTTTAGTGTGTGCACTGATGTAGTTGGCTGTCTCTGAATCATCTGCACATTTGGTCAGCCACCTTCGGACGGTTGGGCAGTCTGTTGGGGCGTGGTACATGGCCCGGCATTTGAAACTGAGAGGGTAGAGAGAAATAGTAGAAAGGGCATCCGCAGGGAGTCAATGATATGATCATATGTTTATCTGACATGATACACATTCATCAAACAACTTGTGGACTGATCTGTGTGTAAGAGTTGTATGTGCTGGCATCTGTGTCTCACCAGAAGACCTCATTGCAGCGGCTGCACTGTACTCTGCGGGCCCGTGGCTCCTGCACTTGGATGACGATGGGGCAGTCTGCCCCTGGACACAGCTGCAACTGGAAGTGGCTCTGAAGAGAGAGAAGGCTGGTTTATAGTCTGTCTATCGACATGTCTGTAGACCATTCAAATGCATCAAGTGTCATTGGTCAGAACTAAACTTAATTTATACTCAGGCCGACTGTCTGAAGTCCGCTGATGCGACTGTCGTTTTTCTTGTCGCAGAGACTTGAAAAATGTTCACCTTTGACAGCTTCTAGAAGTTCTAAATTTCTCTCAAAGAATGCACTGCTTTTTTTCCCATCACATTCACAAACATAAATTGGCTATTTTTAACTCACCATTGCCTTGTAAATAATTATCTTGTAACGTGTTCATTTTTTGAATGAACAAAAGTCAGCCTCAGTCAAAAAGCCTGATTTGTTCGGGTCATAATTTAGCTAGCTAGCCAGCTAACAAGCTAGCAACAAATCAAAACACTGTTTGGTAGCTACTTTTGGTTGCCTGGTTTGCTGGACTGACATAACCCTTTGTTTCTTCTTTTTTTTTTTACAGATGGGTTCATTTATATTACTGACAGCTACAGAGACTGGGCCTTACTGACAGCTACAGAGACTGGGCCTTACTGACAGCTACAGAGACTGGGCCTTACTGACAGCTACAGAGACTGGGCCTTACTGACTGCACAGAGACTGGGCATTACTGACTGCTACAGAGACTGGGCCTTACTGACTGCTACAGAGACTGGGCCTTACTGACTGCTACAGAGACTGGGCCTTACTGACTGCTACAGAGACTGGGCCTTACTGACTGCTACAGAGACTGGGCCTTACTGACTGCTACAGAGACTGGGCCTTACTGACTGCTACAGACACCTTCAGTTGCTAGACAGGTCCAGACAAACATGCACACACTGGCTGAAAGACAGAAATTAAGAGGTTGATAAAAAAAAAATATATATTATTAACAGTGTATGCTGACAGTGCGATTTTTCACAATTTGTTGTTCAAGAACAAAAGCTGCAGGAGAGACAGAAAGGCAAAGTGGAACAGACCAATAGAAAGAGGGCAGACAGACAGTTGGAAGCAGCCAGCCAGACAGACCACCAGAGGGACAGGCTGAGACTCGTACCTCCACATAGTCCCTGAAGAGGTAGCGTCTATATTTGTCCTTCAGCTCCTCACCAGGCAGCAGCGGGAGCACAAAGTCCTCTGGCATTTGGAGGGAACAGTCCTGAGCCATACATGAGATACCTGCACACACAGACACAGAAAGACACGCCATTTAAAATGTTTGAAGTTCATGCATACACCCTGAGCATAAAAAACTATATCTGGAGGAACATGCATTTCAAATACACATTTTTATTTAACAAGACAAATTCAATATAAAAACATCCAAGGTACACAGACATCGGAATATGATTGCACGTAAAGGCTATCAAATACTGGTAAATAATTATCTCACCAGGGGTCATCTTCAAAGCCTATCATCTCACTATCTTCAAAGGAACAACAAGCTGCTGACTTCTGGACACACTCTGACAGGTCGTATCAGCCCTAGCAGTGCTGCTTACCCACTCCCATCCCATCTTTGACGAGTACAGTGCAATGCTGCTCCCAGCATCCTTTGCAGAAGGAGTGCTGACAGGGCAGCGCGAGCAGGGCATCCCTCCGAACCAGCTGCAGACACACGCCACACTGGAGGGACTGAGGGGTCTGGGGACCCAAAGAAAACATTACACATCAGTGATACTCAAATGGCGGCCCAAGGGCCATATCTGGTCAGTGAGCCTTTAGTTGGTGGCCCACAGAGCAGTTCAGACCACCTACACAACTGGAACATAGAGTCCCAGTACCTTTCCAGACACCACCTTTAACTTTACCCAAATACATTATGAACACACTCCACACAAAAGAGCACTCTTAGTACTTACAGGAACTGATCTGCAGGTGCTGCTGGGCTGGACCTGGGCCTCAGACAGCAACTGAGATGAGTTGGACTTGTATCTAAAAAGACAAAACAAGGCCACCAGAAATTAAATATGAACCAGTTTATCTGAATATTTGCATTGCATGTGTATGAAAATACAAGTGAGTGAGTATGACTGAACTAGTTTGTGTATACCTGTCCAGTATTTGTGACACTTGCCAGTGAAAGTGCACAAGGACCAGTTTGGCTACAGCAGGTAAAACCTGTCCAAAGAGAGAAGCATAAGCATCAGGAGAATCAAGCTTATCAATACAGCTGTTCTCAGGAGTCAGCAGCCAACCCTTATCTTCAAGTACTTCCATTGATTACTTCTTTAAACTGATAACTACTGAGACAGAAAAGATAGGCACCTCAGATACCTAGATGTCATGTGACCATGCCACTGATATGGCCTGATATTACAGTTCCCCATTCAATTTAGGTTAAAGCACACCCCTCCCCATGAGAATGAATACCTGGCCCCCAACCCAGGGTCAGATATTTGCACACCCCTAATCACTACGGTTAAGATTGAGGGTATGGTAATTTGATCCTACATATGGGGTTAATGACAACATCTACCTCAATTACCCCTCAGACTAGCCCAACACAAACCTTCAGGATGGCGGCGATACTGTTGACCTCCTCGCAGAGCACCTTCTGGCTCTCCCTGTAGGTGAGGCAGGTGAACTGGTACTCCTCTGGGTCGAACGAGTCGGCCCCCTGCTGCTCCATGTCCCCGGCCACGCCGTCGTAGTAGTCGGCTATGTCCCCCTGGTCGTCCTCGTCACCCCCGTCGTCATCCTCATCCTCAGAGTTGACCCCGAAGTCGTCCTCATTGCTGTCGGAGGCCTGGCTGTTCATGTCCACAGACATTCCACGGCAGAGACGCCCTCTCTCTCTCTCTGGGACTGACTGACAGCTCTCTGGCCGTCAGCTCCACCGGCACCTGGGGAACTACAGCTCCCAGAGAAAACTGCTCCACAAACTAGCCGAACACCGCTCAGCAGCAGCGGAAGAAGCAGAAGAAGTTACACTCCCCGTCTTTCATGAGGAACTGTCGAGGTGGATGGTCTGAAAGGAGACGAAGAACTGGAGGATAGGAGTGAGGGATGAAAGGGGAGGGTGGGAAATAAAGATAATGGTTCAGCTCGAGAAAAAATACTTGATAATGGTTGAGTGTTTGAGGAGATTTATAATGATAAGTTGTATGATAAAGAAGAACACTGGGTCAGGGACACAAGTTGGCTTGCCAGGTGTGATGTTCATTCGTCTGAATCTTCTGTACTCAGGAGGTCAATGGAACTACAGTACTCCATAAAGTCAAGGTCTCTCCCTGCACAAGACAAGACAGAAAAGTCTGCTCTAACACCCTGCCACTTGTGTGATTCACTGATTAGAGAGCCACCAAAACTTCTCCAACCAAGGCTTCAGAAAGATCGGAAAAGCACAAATACCTCCCATTACCCCTGGGACTTTCTTGTACATTAGACAAACAGTATGTAAACACGTGTGGGATACAAAGCACGGGTAGCGGCTTAATGCAGCGGTTTAAAGGATTACGTGACGATGTTTTCCCGTCCTGACAAGGCGTTAGGACAGTAGGCACAGGAGCAGCCGCGTGACATACACACAGACTAGCTAGTCATAATAAGAAAACCGTGATTATTCAGCCAACTAAAGTATCGCATTCTAAATAAATAAAATACCTCCACGTAGTGGGAGGTGACGTGATTGTCGGTCTATTTCGGAAATCTGCTCCTGTTCTACGGTTTGTGATGGACTTTGTGGCATGAACATAATGCCATGGATCACCACAGTAGGCAGCCAGGAGTTTAATATGTGACTTGCAATATCGACCTGGCCCCAGGTCAGTGCCAGACGCTTGTTCGCATTCCCTCCATGCTATAAATAGACACTTATGCAGGGTGACATACATACATGATATCATAGACGTAGCTAGGTGATTACAGTGGAATAAATCAAATGAAGTCGGTTCTGGCCGAATACACAAACATGACTGGCTCATGGCTGGGCTTCAATAAAACTGGCCTAGCCAATTTCCCAGAGTTAAGGACGGTTTAGCTAGCTAACGTTAGTTAACAACATAACTACCTAGTAATAAAGTAGAGGTTAACACACAGAGCAGTTTTCCAAATAATTATTTTAATCATCCATAAAATACGCTATCATAGACATAGGCGAAGTAAAAAAAACAGCTGTTCCATTGTTCCACCCCGGAATTCACCACAGCTGATGCATAACGAGTCGCTGACACCCCCAGCCGCCACCTCTCTCTCACACACTCTAGCCCGGGGATTATCATGTAAACAAGGCCGTCTGGGGCTCGTTAACAAACTAATATGCCTTATCGTTGGCATATCCCTTCCCACCAAGTACTGCGGCCTTTACTTACCTTCCAGACCGCGTTCGGTCGCCTTGCAAATGAAGCCAAAAGTGGTTTTACGTACCAGGACCAATTCTGATAAAATCGCCAGTTAAGCGGAAGACAGAAAAGTACATTGATATTCACAAATTGCGTCACTTCCGTGTCTCCAGCGATGATGACAACAATTGGACAGTTATTTTCGTCAAGGCGGGACCCAAACGTAAATAGACTGAAGGAATTCGATTAATCTGACTCGGGTCCCGGTTAAACATGTTTTCCACCGGGTGAAAGTTGATCGCATTCGTTTTGGAACCGGGCCGCATGAGCCAGGTGCCCCGTTCATAGCACACGGCGAAGTCGGCTCAAAACAAGTGACTAAATTAACCAAGTGGAGTAATGAGTAGCATTCTGTATTTCACATGCAAAAGTGATTGCTTTTGATCAAAAACGCTTTATCTGCCTTCCCAATGAAAATTCAAGCATATATTTTATGGAAAAGAGATGTATGTTGCTGGACAATGCACCATGCTGCCTGGTTGACAACATGACTGAGCAGCGCAGATTACTGTTCGATTTGAGATGGGCGCTCCTCCCTCACCGCTTTTGTCCGTCAACCGGTGCCCCGCGGTTCAGCATTATCGAATCAGCCCACTGTCAGACAGAAGTTTCTGGGGAATTAACACATTAATCTACATTTTAATTATTTGTCCATCTCTAATACAAACACATTCTTCTAACAAGTAGGAGCAATCCATAGACACCATGAAACAACGTTTTAAGAACTGGCTCTGGCCAGACACTGCATCAACAGTACATTAACAAAAGTAATGAAATTGAAAAATACATAGCCTACATGTGGAACACACTGACACTGACATATGATCAGTCTGGTTTAAACAACTTCTGGCAGAAATCAACAACAACAACACTCTCCCGTGACTTTTCTCTCTGAGTGGCTGGGAATATATTTATAGATCTGATGCCTGTGTAATCATGAGGGTGCATTCTTGGCTGTGGCTCAGTGACAGTCTGTCCTTGGATCGCGTTCTTCTTCTTAAATGTTTTATTGGCAGATCACAACCAACTGAAAGGTGCATACACCGCCACCTACTGTACTGTAGTGTGAGGCCGGTCACGGCCACCCTATTAATCTATTTCTCTCATCTAGCCCTGTGTTCCCCCTACTGTTGTGGAGTATGAATTCATTACACTTTGTGACACAAAAAGGGAAGGGGAAGAAATAATGTCCCTACCAACTAACCCCACACCCATTAAAACCTCACCACTATCCCTCTACTTGGCCCTATCTGATCTGACCGACAGCCTGGGAGGACAGGACACTATCATTCAACACACCTTTTAACTCTTTTGCGGTAAAATCTCATACACCCAAGTGCTTCTCTGCAGCTGCCACCAAAACATATATTTTCTGTGATTTACGTTCCATTTCTGCGGTACAGTTGATAACCACGGCTATGAACGCTAAGAAGCCAACCTTATTGAAGCACGTTATTCCGATCACTCTCTATTGGCCTCAACCTACTCACAGGAATCCTCTTAGGATCCCTCACCCTGGACCCATCTTCCTCTACTACTCTCCACTGCCTCAGCATACTACACCTTCTGTACTACTCTGATCCTGGCAACCTCAACCTGCCTTTCTCTCACCGGACACTTCTGATCTCCAGCACCATGGGTACCGCTACAGTTAACACAACTTTTTCCACCTATATTACACATTCCTTTGTCTCATTCCCTCCTGCACACTTCTCACATCTAGGAATCTCCCTCCTACATACAGCTGCAACATGACCATAAGCTTGGCAACTAAAGCACCGTAATGGGTTCAGGACTAAAGCTCTCACGGGATAACTGACACATCCTAACTTGACTTTGTCGGGTAAAGCCTGCATCAAAACTCATCAGGACAGACAGTGTCTTCTGTTTCACCATGCTTTCCACTGGGTCTGCGTTGCACCAAATGGCGGGCGTCACATACACTGGGACTTGGATCGTGTTAGAAAGCCCTGACCTCCTGGGTAATCCTTGAGGGGGGTTCGATTAATCTCACCCGGGCTCCTGTGTAGGCGTGATTTGCACCGGCTGAAAGTTGATTGCATTCGATTTGGAACCGGGCTGCCTCCCGGGCGTGAGCCAATAGCCCCACTCTGTCCAATGGCGAAGTCGGCTCAAAACAAAAGTGACGTAATTAAGCATGTGTAGTTATAGAAAGCAATAGTAATGGCATATTTTTGTAGGCACTAACTCCGCCATGGTTCGTTGAACAAAGCCTATGGGAAAATGAATAGATTTTTTGTTTTGGATAAATGCCAAAAAGAAGGTCTGTGGTAAACACAGGCTTAGGAGATTTTATACGTTTTGTTCTATAAAATAATCTTCATCAGCTAATGTCACTTTTTGTGAAATTTTAAGCATTTATGTAATAACACACATAAAGGCTTAATCATTCATAAAGGTCATGATAACTGACTGATATTATCTCATAAAACAACAAGCCTGTTTTAACCTCAGACCTTATTTTTGCAGTTTATTCCAAAACCCTATTCTTTCCTCATAGATTTTGCCATGGCTGAATAAACCAGAGGTAAATCATTTCCGTTTTTCAGGACTACAAGCTGGCAAGCTCTATTAGTAGGATTCTGTGTTTTCCCATGCAAAAGTGATTGCTTTTGATAAAAACGCTTTATCTGCCTTCCTAATGAAAACTAGTTTGAAAATTCTAACATTTATTTTATGGAAAACAAATGTATGTTTCTTGTTGACAACATGACCGAGCAGTGCAGATTACCGTTCGATTTGAGGAGAGCTCTCCTCCCTCCCCGCTTTCACCCGATGATGTGACGGGCCATTGCCCGGTTCAACCCAGGCCTGCGTAAAATAACTCCCTCCTTGTCTCTGACAATCTCTGATTGGCTCCATTGCCTCAAGGATAAAACATACTTTTGCCATGAGACAGAACATGATTTACACAATTAACATCTGTGCTCAGTATGTTATTACGATGATGAAATTGATCTGGTTGTGAATGTCTGAGTTTGTAGTTTGGGCAGCTTGATGATGACACAAATGCATGAGTCAACACTTCCATTTGGGTCAAACTAATAAGTCCCAAAATATCTGCTATTTATTTCCATTATTTTAACACTACATCAAAGCTGTAATATAACAATAATTCAGAGACATTTATTTTATTTTTATAACAATTCTTAGAAAAATACTTTGGATAAAAAACAGTCTACTAATAGTAGAGACAGACAACTGAGCTCCCACATTCACATGCCCACACACGTAGAGAGATGAGTGTGTCTAGAGACATAGGAGCGATAAGAGATAGGAGTGTGTGAAAAGGTGTGTGAAAAAACCGGAATCAGTTTACATCGAGGTTCCACCTCCGACAGCAGTGCAGGTTTGAGTCTGTGCCAGTGTAAAGGTTGTCACGCTGCTAGCTTAGCGAGTACCACTTCCTCCCGATTCGGTTTACACCGAGGCTCGAACCCAGGACCTCTGCCTTGCTAGCACTCGTGACTGCCATTCTCAAGCGTCTTACCAGTCGGCGCCACACGAAAAACTAGCTAGTGGGGACACTTCAGGCATCCCCATGTGCTACACCAACACCAGGCTGCTTTGTTGTTTTGGTCCACAGGGATTACAATGACCTACATCTCCTGTAACACAGCAGGAACCCAGAACAGATGCCTGTCTGTCTGACCTACTTCTGATCTGTTCTGGCAACATGAAGAACACGACTGTATGGGAGTCAGAGAGAGTTGGGTTGGATGATCTCATCTCATACTTTCTCAAAGGGGAAAAGGTGCTTTTGCTTGCCCCTTTTCTCCCGGTTGGATGTTGTTTTGGAGGCTCCCCTCGTGCCACTGTCCTGCTCCTCCTGTCTGTTCTGGGGCCAGGCCTGTGCCAGTGTGGCAGAAGCCGTGTTTGGCCCACCTTCCCCCTCCTCTTCAGATGACAGACCCTCTTCCCCTACCCTATCCTGGCTCTTCAGTTGGTCCAGGCCTCCTCCGGCTGTTGGGCCTTTCTTCCCATAGCGCCGCTGTAGTCTCTCCCTGATCAGCAGGCTCTTCACCAGCAGGGTCCAGTTAGTCACTGCCCTCTTTTCCCGCTTCTGGAAAACATTCACAAGACATATGTGAGCGAAATATGAGAAGCACTAACCTAACAAACAAGATTATGCCTGTAATACACTGTAGTTAAAAACAAACCTTCTCCATAAAGATATGATTAATTGCATGAAATATGTATTTATTCAATACAACTGTACAATACCCAGCGGCAGTTGCAAAAGGTGTGCTTTGAGCGAAGTGGCAAAACAGAGGCTTTTCACAAACACATTCAGACACACCATAACTCACCTCTTTCTCCTTTTGTCTCTGGATCTCTTGGTCTTCCGCCCAAGCTGCTCTCAGGATCTCCTCATGTTCCTCACACACAATGTAGCCATCAGTTCTAGAAAATAAACACACCGTAACAAACTATGTAACAACAAGCATACATATCAGAAACAAACAATTACACAACCATGCATCTGCACACACAATGGAAAACTTACACAGCATGAGAGTAGCCACCATGAAAGTCAAAGCCAGTGACAGCAGAGGCACAGTCCATGTCCAGCTTCTTAGCCACTCTCTGCAGGTTAGGCAGACGCAGGTGGACACAGCCCACTGGCAGCATGCAGGGCTTGAACAGGTACACGTTGCCAAAGTCGTTACGAGGCACCTGGAGAAAACAAACACATACTTAACTCAATGGTTAATAAAAATGCAACATCCAGTAGACCTACATGCACACACAGTTTCATTAGAAAGTAATCATACCCTTCCATCTACAGCTACTGGTGGCTGGTACTCCTCTGTCTGCCATTCACCAAACAGAGGCAGGTCATCTTTGTCCTTCTGCTCTGACGCCATCCTGACTTTCCGAGAGCGATTGGAGAACCCTCTCACCATCTAAGAGAGAGAGAGAGGTTGAGAGAAAGTGTATGGGAGAGAGTGTGCGAGAGAGAGAGAGTGTGTGTGTGTGTGTGTGAGAGAGAGAGAGAGTGAGAGAGTGAGTTTTGCTACGGTGTGCCCTAATGAACACGACCCTGCTCACCTTGTAGGGCTCCTCTCCCAGACGGACGGTGCGTGCCTCCTTTAGCCAGGTGTCTCTGGAGTGTAGTGTGTGAATACAGTCTCTGTGGAGATCCCAGATGCAAATAAGTACTACTGTATTTCTCATGGCTTTTCACAATCAAAGAAGATACATTTGTTTTGGATACCAAACAATTTCTATGAATACCATAATAATGCATTTACATTACCTCCCCCCAAAAAAGAACTCTGCTTCGAAACAAAGTTATACTTTTAAACAGCCCTCTATCTACTTCTTTGCATTCAAAATCAGTTATGAAAAATCTCAAATTTGTAATATCCCGGTTATGTGTGCTGCTTACCTGGAGTAGACGGGCTCTCCCCTGCAGTACCCCAGGATGGCCGCTGTGGAGGGGTAGAGTGCTTCATATTTCAGTAGATGTCTCTTCAGGGCGTACATGGGGTGGTTTTTGAACTCTGCTATCGATGTGGGCAACGGCTTGTCCAGCAGCTTCGCCTGGAGCTAGAGCACAGAGAGAGGGGAGTGTATAAATGAGAAGCTGTACAAATGAAGGTGTGTGAATTTGCATCTCATCCTCACCTCTTTATCCTCCTGGACATCCCTGTCAGATTCGGGGCCGAGGAAAGGCTCTAGCGTCACCTCCCACCACTCCTCGTCCACCCGGCGCTTCCTGGTGTAGGTCATCCAGGTGGGGTCGTACTTGCTGCCCAGATCCTTCAGGTGACCGTCCCCGTCCACTGCTACCACGTAGGTCATGGGATGGGTGGCCTGCTTGGAGCACAGCTGAGGCTGCCCCACCCCCTGCAGCACGTCCACACACACCCAGCACCCAGTCTTCTCCAGATACACCTCCAGCCACTCGTCTGCACCCTTCCCCTCCTTCCTCTTGCCCCGCTTCATCCGCTGCTCTTCCTCTGCCTCCCCCTCCTCTTCATTTCCCTCCCAATCCTCATCCTCCTCTTCACTCTTCACTTTCTTATTGCCTCTACTACTTATTTTCTGTGGAGCTGTACTCTTGCCCTTGCTCTTACCTCCTTTTCCTTTCTTGGCTCTGATGGCTTTGGCTCCTCCCTCAGAGTCCTCGCTGTCTTCCTCATTGGTCAGCTGGAACTCCTCCCCATCGCTAGGCCCCTCCCCTTCACTGCTCTCCTCTTTGTAGCTCACCTTCGAGGCTATGCTGCGGCGCTTGGAGTTCTTGGGTTTCTGTCCCACCGACACACCTTTTTTCGTCTCCCCTGCCTCTTTCTTTTTTGCCTTCTTCCCTCCTCTCTCGGCCTTCCCGCCTGCCGGTCTCTTGGTACCTGGGGAGACTTTGGGCTCTGAGGGGTTCTCTTTGGGAGGTTTCTTCTGCGATGGACTGTTCCTATGCGGGCTGCCTGAGTTCTTGGCCTTGCTCTGAAAAAGAGAGTTGGATCAGATAAGGACACACACAGAGCCTGTGAACTTAACCTTAAAGTGTGTACACGCAAACCCAATGCTGTACCTTGGGTGACGGGGGCTTCAGTGACAGGGGCTGCAGAGAGAGCACCAGTCGACAGAAGAGCTGCAACGACCTCAGCACCAACAGGAACAGCTGGAGGAAACAGACAAGCACAGGGGTCAGAGGACAAGGTTAGGAAACACTTGATTTAAAACAGGCTTCAGTTGAGTACCATCAAGGCAAACTGAGTTAGGCCCGATTTCTCTAGAGAGAACATATTATACCATAAGAGCCCGAACTGTTTAACCTTTGATTCAAAACTATATGGAAAGTGTGGTCATCTCTCAAAAACATACTCTATTTGCATATATGTATATTTTTTTATGCAACAGGGGAACATGAACAAACATTTCTGCATGGTGCATTCAGTGTGCAGGATACCTGCCACTCACATGTGTCATTTCCTGGTGGTCTCTAGCGGTGACGCTGCCCAGCCTCCTCTCCAGCAGGGCCTGTGGGTCCGGCCTCTCCTCACAGGGAAGCTCCGGGTTAAGTGTGAACGTTGCCCCAAACCTGGACAAAATCAACCAGGATTACTTTACAACATTGCCAGGGATGATTGAATTAATCAGGTGTTAAGGGTAAACATAGTTTAGCATGCTACAAGGAATAAGCAGAGAAAAAAGTTCACACAGTTAAAGTCACACACACACACACAAATTGAAGGCCCTCCTCACCACTTGAGCAGGCCAGAGAGGTAGCTGATGTCAATGCGTTCCTTGGCCACCATGGCAAAGTGGGTGGGCAGCAGAGACAGGCTGATAGCCAGCAGGTCCGGTGTACTACACAACCGGTTCCGGAACATCCCATTGGCTAGAAGACACATGAGGTGGACCTATGGGAGAGATGTTAATAATCGGTATCGTAAGAATACAGTGTTCGAATGAGAAGAGAACATGTTAGGGCTAAAAAATTGACAACAGCCATTCTGTGATTCCCCTATCAGCAGGTGAACGTATCATGACAGTCTGTGAGCTAGGCCATGTGGAGGTCCTTACACTACACGTGTGTGTGTATGTGTGCTCACCTTGTGTGTGTCCTCCACGACGTCTTTGTTGAAGCGGTTCATCATGCGTCGGAGGTAGGTCTCAAACTCCGCCTTCCTCTTCTCCCTGGAGTCAGGTTGTCATGGTAATTGATTGATTGTTCATATTTCCATCTTGGAATAAAATTAGTAATTTTCCTACAGTCTGACTGTATTATCTAGGTTGCAGCACTTACTTTTCCAAAGGACACAGGCTGCCAGTTCTAACATGCCATCTTCCACCATCTCTCACCTTTTCTGCCTTTTGTGGATGATGTCTGGGGTCTCAATCTCTATCTCCACAGGCTGTGAGGGCAGGGCTGGCTCTACTGGCTCCATTGGACCTAAGGGCTCAGCCAGCTCTGAGGACAGACAGCAATATCACATAGTCACACACACAGAGCAAGGACCAGAGCCGTCATAGGCCTACATACAGATAACTTTAATCTACACAGATGTAAAGTCTACATGTGATGCAAACAAACATTGTACAATCAAAACTAGCGTTCATTCATTTATCACCTTCCACTTCCTCCCAGTCTTCATCCTCCTCACTGTCCTCATCATCATCTTCTTCTTTTTTCACAAGCTTTACTGTGTCTTTTCTGGCTCTGATAAAAGGAGGGATGATATCACTCTCAGGAGTCATATCAGCAGGCTCCTCCTTCACTGGAGTCTTGTCCTGGAAGTATTTGCTGGTGTTGGTTGCAGTTGTGTCCTCTACTATAGGTTTGGAGAGACGGGATTTGGGCTTGGCCTTTCTCTGAAGCTTCTCCTTTTTCTCCCCATTCTCTGATAGGGTAGAAAAAAAGATGGGTCATGATAAGATGATGACAGTGAGAGAAAGACTTTCAATAATCCACTGCTGTGTGATTCCTCATGAAACTCAGACAAAAAAAATGTATTCCATAGAATAGTCCTTTGGAGGAAGGATTGTTGACATATATTTGACATTTGTATCCAAAGGCATAATTGAGCATATTTATGACATTTTGGCCTTAAGAATCCATAGAGTTTCATCTGTAGGTGCTATGTAGCAAACATTGGTGTCATATGAAGCTTTACTGCTTGCTCTGTAATATTAGTATTTTTATTTTAAAAACGTTTTACATTAATTTATGAATATAGAATAATATTGGAAATATACCATTTTTTATTTGGCAAATTGTTCAATATATTATTGAACATAATATACTCTACGGGCTTATCAAAGTTCCAGAGTGGGATCTCTGCAGTGGTGTAAAGTACTTAAGTAAAAATACTTTAAAGTACTACTTAAGTCATTTTTGGGGGTTTCTTGACAACTTCTACTCCACTACATCCTAAAGAAAATAATGTACTTTTTACTCCATACATTTTCCCTGACACCCAAAAGTACCCGTTACATTTTGAATGCTTAGCAGGACAGGAAAATTGTCAAATTCACGCACTTATCAAGAGAACATACCCTGGTCATCTCTACTGCCTCTGATCTGGCAGACTCACAACACAAATGCTTCATTTTGTAAATTATGTCTGAGTCCGTAAAAACAATAAAATTGTGCCTTCTGGTTTGCTTAATATAAGGAATTTGAAATTATTGATACTTAAGTATATTTAAAACTACTTTTAGACTTTTACTCAAGTAGTATTTTAAAGGGTGACTTTCACTTTTACTTGAGTCCTTTTATATTAAGGTATCTTTAGGTTTTACTAAAGTATGACAATTGGGTTCTTTTTCCACCACTGGATCTCTGCTACTTTTAGAATTATGTTCCTATTTGTAAGCATTACCAACAGAGTGATTGTGAAAAAATATTCAAAATGGTCGCCTTCTGCTGGTAATTTGCAGGATGTGCAATGATACAAGTAAAAGGAAGGCTGTGAATAGTTACATTTCCCACTATGCCAATTTCTCTGTATTAAAAGGGGCCATAACTTTAAAACTAGCAGAGATCCCACTCTGGAACTTTGATAAGCCCGTAGATTATATTATGTTCAACAATATATAGAACAATTAGCCAAATCAACATTTTATATTTTTTATATTCATGTTTATATTTGAAATAATAAATAAAAATACGACTCATATTACAGAGCAAGCTGTAAAGCTTCATATGCCACCAATTTTTGCTTTGTAGCGTCTACAGCTGAAACATTATGTAGCCTTAAAGGAGGCCTGGGTAAGGCCAAAATGTCTTAAATATGCCAACTTGTATTAATTATTTCTCCATTATGCTTTTAGATACAAATGTCAAATATATGTCAACAATCCTTCCTCCAGAGGACTATTCTATTGATTACATTTTGTGAAAATCCCCCAAATCATGGTCTGTTTTGGTCTGGGTTTTGTGAGGAATCACAGATTTGTTTTCATGCCACCTCATATAATGGCTCAAACCCATGCCATTATGTTGAGAAATTGCCTAAAATCTCTGTTTAAACCCATATAAAGAGTCTTGAGGAAAAATAACTCATGAATATATTGCTGCTGTTATGAAAATTGTGTGGTATAGAAATAACCACTGCAGAGTTTAATTCAGCAGAAAATCAAAACACACAACCAACTCAGATCCATCGTAAACACGTTTTTATATGCCGCCAAGTACAGACAGACAGTTGATCCACAATGGTAACCATGCAAGACGATGCACCTGCACACAATCTGTCAAAACATGAAACTGATAGATGCTGGCCCATTGAAACGCATCAGTGACAAATTTGAAGCAGAAGTTATGACATGAGATGCAATTGCAACATCGTAACGCAGAAGGGTTGTTACTCAATTATGAATGATTTGTATCTCTTTACAATATCCCTGTTACACCTACAGTTCGCCATAGTCTGATGCTATTCATCTGGGACTCTCATGCTGTTTAGAGGTGTAACCAGACCTCACCTTCTTGAGATACCCTTGCTTAGTCCAGTTTAATATCCAGTTGGAAAAATAGCAAATTTCCGCTACATTGGCATTCCATATATTATGAATTTCGAGATATGAATTATGAAAGTTTTTTACAAATTCAAGAGGGGGCTTTTTTCATTTTGAGCACCTGCCCCCTGAAAGGTCTGTGCATGACTCTGTCCCTTTCCCACAGTGAAGTATGAAATGCTGTGCCTGTATGGTTTTATAACTTGCAGGGATTACATTTGGAGACCAAAGCCAAATTGGATGACAAGGCAAAGAGTTGTGCCAAATGTAACCTTTGTGCTCCCTCAGAACAATAATAGATCTGCGTGCTTTTTTTCAAAGGGATGTTTTATCTATTCCTTATATCACAATTTACTGGAATACATTTGTCAATAATATTTGTTGCAAAAAGTTTTGGTTATTAGCACACAAATCCCTAATTGTTAACAAGGTCAGAGGTCTCGTTCGGAATTATCCATGTATTACCCTGCGAATCATTACCTGAAGAAACTTTAAAAAGACATTGACAAGAACTGCACTTTTCATGATAAGCATCCAGAAACAGTTCAGCCTTTATTTTTGGTATTGCCTACATGTAAAAAGATTATGGCAAGATATTTGTAGATTTTTAATTGATAATATTACTGATGACGTTTTATTATGGTAGAATGTGCTGCTCGGTTTCCTTAACCATAATAATGATAAAGAAAAACAATTTCACCTCTTAAAATGTAATTGTGTTACTGGTAAAATGTAATATTAATAAATGTAAATTCACTAATACAAAAATCACTCTTGTTTTTTAGAAGGATATCGAGCAGTACATTATCATTCTACATTCTTCGAATAAGAAAGCTTTAAAAACAGTGACGTGTATGTCTTCACTTTGTATAACGTTAATCGGTAGTTTGTTGTACCCCCTTTTATATATAGCGAATATGTTCTTCTTTGTTTGTATACTCCATCCTGTACGTAAACGTTGATGGTATCATCTTGTCACAATGTAGCCTAAATTAGCTAAATCGCAAGATAGAACATCTTCAATAGGTTTTTCCTATAAGTATTTGCTCAGTGATAGCTATTAGCTGGGTGTTGTAACTAGTTGGATACATTTACCTTGGTCTTTTTTGGCTCTTAGTCCTCCAGTTTTGCCCTTTGCAACCTGCTTCAGTTTCTTTGCATCTATCTTCACTGCTGTGTCTGCAGACTCTTTACGCTTGGCCATGCTCGCTCGCGTCGTTCCAAAGGTAATTGTGTACTTTTTAAATAGTATTACAGACAGAATCGTGAATGACTTATTTTACCATGCACACCTGGGGTTGTGTAATTTGGCCTAGAAACCGTTGTTATTCAACACAACTTTACGGAGCCTTTCATAATACATGATTGTGTCCGAAACGTCATATCCGTATCCACTTCCGCGCTGTGGGCCACCATCAGTATTCCCCAAACGTTGGTGCTCCAGAAAGCGCAACAGGAACATTGTGTAGGTAGACCTATTATTTTTCCGTTCACTCGGATGGAAATTCAGTCCTGAGTAACGCGCTTTATTCCGTTTTAATGCACCTTTGTGCTTATTCGGACCTTGAACTTAAGCATGGGGAAATGCCAGTGCCAGCCAGATATACGTTTGGGATGTAGATCAAAGAAATTGAGGTGTGGCGGAGGTGTGTCTGCAGATATAATGTATTCTGACCTTGACCTAATTCCTTTAGACTGAGGAAACCATGAATAAGGTCGAGCGAACCTGCAGGTTCCAAGTGGCAGCCTGGTCTCATAGGCTAGAAGTAACATAATAAATTTAAATCCAGGACAGTCATTAGTATGATATGTTACAGTTGGTATGGTTACGCAAGACCGAAGGTCATGTGTAGCTCAGTTAGTCGAGCATGGTACTTGCAACGCCAGGTTTATGGGTTCGATTCACACGAGGGACCAGTATGAAAAAAGTATGAAAAGAGTGACTAAAATATTATGAATTTCGAGATATGAATTATGAAAGTTTTACAAATTAAAGCGGGAGCTTTTTTCATTTTGCGCACCTGCCCGGCCTGCCCCTTTCCCACAGTGAAATATGAAATGCTGTGCCTGTATGGCAATTTGGAGACGCAAGCCAAATTGGATAACAAGGCAAATAGTCACGCCAAATTTAACCTTTGTGCTCTCTAGAATGTTTTAATCAAATGCCATGACTTATCCTGTTTCCTTCCATTTGTAGGCTATAGCCTACAGTATGTTAAATATTATTAGCCACTATCGGTAGTGAACATAACTATATCATTCCATTTTGTTTTGTTTTATTTAGCCTACCTTTATGTATTTCCTCAGTTAACTATCATGTCCTTGTGGTTGTGGCTGAGGGTCAATAGTGGATACTATTTAATGAAGGCCAAATACAAATTGTAGTAAAAAATAATCGGGACATGTAGGCTTATTAAATCATTATGGAGCTGTTACAGGTTTCGGTTTTTCCATTTACAATGCATTCGGAAATTATTCAGACCCCTTCCCATTTTCCACATTTTGTTACGTTACAGCCTTATTCTAAAATTGATTAAATTGATATTTGTCCTCATCAATCTACACACAATACCCCATAAAGACAAAGTGAAAACAGATTTTTAGAAATGTTTGCAAGTGTATTAAAATAAAAAACTGAAATACCTTATTTACATAAGTATTCAGACCCTTTGCTATGAGACTCGAAATTGAGCTCAGGTGCATCCTGTTTCCATTGATCATTCTTCAGATGTTTCCTTCAGATGAGTCCACCTGTGGTAAATTCAATTGATTAGACATGATTTGGAAAGGCATGTCAGAGCAAAAACCAAGCCATGAGGTCGAATGAATTGTCCGTAGAGCTCAGAGACAGGATTGTGTCGAGGCACAGATCTGGGGAAGGGTACCAAAACATTTCTACAGCTTTGAAGGTCCCTAAGAACAGAGTGGCCTCCATCATTCTTAAATGGAAGAAGTTTGGAACCACCAAGACTCTTCCTAGAGCTGGCCGTCGGGCCAAACTGTGCAATCGGGGGAGAAGGGCCTTGGTCAGGGAGTTGACCAAGAACCCGATGGTAACTCTGACAGAGCTCCAGAGTTCCTCTGTGGAGATGGGAGAACCTTCCAGAAGGACAACCATCTCTGCAGCACTCCACCAATCAGGCCTTTATGGTAGAGTGGCCAGACGGAAGCCACTCCTCAGTAAAAGGCACATGACAGCCCACTTGGAGTATGCCAAAAGGCACCTAAAGGACTCTCAGACCATGAGAAACAAGATGCTCTGGTCTGATGAAATCAAGATTGAAGTCTTTGGCCTGAATGCCAAGCGTCACGTCTGGAGGAAACCTGGCACCATCCCAACGGTGAAGCATGGTGGTGGCAGCATCATGCTGTGGGGATGTTTTTCAGCGGCAGGGACTGGGAGACTAGTCAGGATCGAGCGAAAGATGAACGGAGCAAAGTACAGAGAAATCCTTGATGAAAACCTGCTCCAGAGCGCTCAGGACCTCAGACTGGGGCGAAGGTTCACCTTCCAACAGGACAACGACCCTAAGCACACAGCCAAGACAACGCAGGAGTGGCTTCGGGACAAGTCTCTGAATGTCCTTGAGTGGGCCAGCCAGAGCCCGACTTGAACCTGATCGAACATCTCTGGAGAGACCTGAAAATAGCTGTGTAGCGACGTTTCCCATCCAACCTGACAGAGCTTGAGAGGATCTGCAGAGAAGAATGGGAGAAACTCCCCATTCTCCACTTGTGTAGCTAGCATGACTGACTTTGTGCTAGCTAGCCAATGTTTAATTACTTCTGCGTTATGAAAGGAACTAGACACGGACATGAATGATCCATTGGTTGTAACCAAGTATTGGTGCTAAACCGTGTGTTATTGGATGCTAGCATGCTAGTTAGCTATGGCGTCATAGGATACGGTGCCCTGGGCAGTTTTCACAGAAGAATACTGTACCAAGTTAGCTACAGTGGGGAAAAAAAGTATTTAGTCAGCCACCAATTGTGCAAGTTCTCCCACTTAAAAAGATGAGAGAGGCCTGTAATTTTCATCATAGGTACACGTCAACTATGACAGACAAATTGAGGGAAAAAATTCCAGAAAATCACATTGTAGGATTTTTAATGAATTTATTTGCAAATTATGGTGGAAAATAAGTATTTGGTCACCTACAAACAAGCAAGATTTCTGGCTCTCACAGACCTGTAACTTCTTCTTTAAGAGGCTCCTCGGTCCTCCACTCGTTACCTGTATTAATGGCACCTGTTTGAACTTCTTATCAGTATAAAAGACACCTGTCCACAACCTCAAACAGTCACACTCCAAACTCCACTATGGCCAAGACCAAAGAGCTGTCAAAGGACACCAGAAACAAAATTGTAGACCTGCACCAGGCTGGGAAGACTGAATCTGCAATAGGTAAGCAGCTTGGTTTGAAGAAATCAACTGTGGGAGCAATTATTAGGAAATGGAAGACATACAAGACCACTGATAATCTCCCTCGATCTGGGGCTCCACGCAAGATCTCACCCTGTGGGGTCAAAATGATCACAAGAATGGTGAGCAAAAATCCCAGAACCACACAGGGGGACCTAGTGAATGACCTGCAGAGAGCTGGGACCAAAGTAACAAAGCCTACCATCAGTAACACACTACGCCGCCAGGGACTCAAATCCTGCAGTACCAGACGTGTCCCCCTGCTTAAGCCAGTACATGTCCAGGCCCGTCTGAAGTTTGCTAGAGTGCATTTGGATGATCCAGAAGAGGATTGGGAGAATGTCATATGGTCAGATGAAACCAAAATAGAACTTTTTGGTAAAAACTCAACTCGTCGTGTTTGGAGGACAAAGAATGCTGAGTTGCATCCAAAGAACACCATACATACTGTGAAGCATGGGGGTGGAAACATCATGCTTTGGGGCTGTTTTTCTGCAAAGGGACCAGGACGACTGATCCGTGTAAAGGAAAGAATGAATGGGGCCATGTATCTTGAGATTTTGAGTGAAAACCTCCTTCCATCAGCAAGGGCATTGAAGATGAAACGTGGCTGGGTCTTTCAGCATGACAATGATCCCAAACACACCGCCCGGGCAACGAAGGAGTGGCTTCGTAAGAAGCATTTCAAGGTCCTGGAGTGGCCTAGCCAGTCTCCAGATCTCAACCCCATAGAAAATCTTTGGAGGGAGTTGAAAGTCCGTGTTGCCCAGCGACAGCCCCAAAACATCACTGCTCTAGAGGAGATCTGCATGGAGGAATGGGCCAAAATACCAGCAACAGTGTGTGAAAACCTTGTGAAGACTTACAGAAAACGTTTGACCAGTGTCATTGCCAACAAAGGGTATATAACAAAGTATTGAGAAACTTTTGTTATTGACCAAATACTTATTTTCCACCATAATTTGCAAATAAATTCATTAAAAATCCTACAATGTGATTTTCTGGATTTTTTTTCCTCATTTTGTCTGTCATAGTTGACGTGTACCTATGATGAAGATTACAGGCCTCTCTCATCTTTTTAAGTGGGAGAACTTGCACAATTGGTGGCTGACTAAATACTTTTTTCCCCACTGTATCTGAATAAACTAAGTTAGTCTATTCCTGGAAACATTGAACTACTGTAGATTACAGCAATTATAATTTCTAAAGTGGAAGTTGGAAGAGTTGTATTTGAGTGTTTCAGTGAAAGGTTAGTGAGGGAGGCCTCATTTCCCCAGATGTTTAGTTAATTTCATTCCGATCTCCTTTGCATTAGTGTAGCCTTTTCTGTAGCCTGTCAACTATGTGTCTGTCTATCCTTGTTCTCTCCTCTCCGCACAGGCCATACAAACGCCTCACACCGCGTGGCTGCTGCCTCTCTAACCTGGTGGTCCCTGCACGCACGACCCACGTGGAGTTCCAGGTCTCCGGCAGCCTCTGGAACTGCCGTTCTGCGACCAACAAGGCATAGTTCATCTCAGCCTATGCTACCCTCCAGTCCCTCGACTTCTTGGCGCTGACGGAAACATGGATTACCACAGAAAACACTGCTACTCCTACTGCTCTCTCCTCGTCTGACCATGTGTTCTCACATACCCCGAGAGCATCTGGTCAGCGGGGCGGTGGAACAGGAATCCTCATCTCTCCCAAGTGGACATTCTCTCTTTCTCCACTGACCCATCTGTCTATCTCCTCATTTGAATTCCATGCTGTCACAGTCACTAGCCCATTCAAGCTTAACATCCTTATCATTTATCGCCCTCCAGGTTCCCTTAGAGAGTACATCAATGAGCTTGACGCCTTGATAAGTTCCTTTCCTGAGGATGGCTCACTCCTCACAGTTCTGGGTGACTTTAACCTCCCTACGTCTACCTTTGACTCATTTCTCTCTGCCTCCTTCTTTCCACCCCTCTCCTCTTTTGACCTCACCCTCTCACCGTCTCCC